TCTGATAGAGCCTGGTGGAACCACTGAGACTATGGCCCTTAGCTGCACTTCAAGTCTGGAATTATACCCATAACTGTGGTTTCCAGCCAAACAAAATATAGGCTAATGAGTTGAACATTTACCTGAGGTAGATATACTCCTTGGAGGGAACAATCATGGGAGAAAGAAGGGCTGCTTATGCACAGGGAGACAGTTCAGGGGGCAGGAGTGCATGGAGGGATGGACACAGTGAAGAGCTAACTATGGGGAGGAAGTGGGAGGGGAGCTGTTGCAAAAAAAATAAAAAATAACAACTTGTGATATTACCTTTTCTCCAGTGGGACCTGCAGGACCTGGAGGGCCCAAGGGGCCAGGGAGACCCTGTCAATAAACAGAACATAGAAAAACTGAGGGAAAGCCAGCACAGAAATCCCCATGTTAAAATAAACAAAAAAGAACTAACTATTTTGTTAGAGCCTCTTGGTAAAAACATTATCTACAATGAACAATAGAATCTCTATATAGTCTCAAGATTTTTCAGTCTAGTCAAAAACATTGCCCATTAAATTTTCTCCACAGAACTTTAATTTTTTTTAATCCAAATCAACTCATCAATATATAAAATAGCCTTTGAACATTAGATCTAAATCAGTGTTATTCTTCAACAACATCCCTAGTTCTTGGGAAATGAAAATATAAAACCATCATTCTTTAAGTTCTGACCACATTATATTACATTTTTAAAGTAAAATCATAGGCACTATAATTATATATATTAGATTTCACCTTAAAATGAACTCTCAGTGTATGATTCCTTTAAACAATAATACACAACTTACTACCCACTCCAGAAAATTCATGATATAAAATACAAATAACATACCAGATTTACTTTAGAGTGTTTTTGAAATATTATGTCAAATATTAGATTTGAAAGCTAAAAGATAGCTCATGTTCATAGTTTGGTAAATAAAACATTTCACCTTTAATTAAATTTTCAGAAAAAGAAAAAAAAATAGATAATTACAAATTAGGGTAAAAACTTTTCTCTATTTTTTTTAACCAAGAGTGAATATAGCCAATATATTAATAGCGACTCAATGTGCAGAACCAGTATATTAATATTGAGCTCTTTTTAATGGTGTAGCTGCTATTTCAATGGCCCAACATGACAACTAACAGCTAAGCATGTCATACTGAAACAGAAGTTACTCATTAAATATCGGGCACTATTCCAGGAAATACTGTATGCCTGAGTCACTGTGACTAACTGTGCTTCCACGAGGGAATCATTCATGTCTGAAAATATATTGTCCCTCTAGTCAGATTGCCCTTGAAAAGCAAATGCATTCTGTTTTTGAGGATCTAAAGCTTATATATAGGGAGGTTATGAATCAGAATCAATTCAACACCACTTTTCAACAACAAGAAAGCTTGTTAAATGTTAATTTCTGATATGACATTAAACAATGTATGGGGTCAACCATCCTCCTTGATATTTCACTTACTCAGTTTCTTTACTGATGAAAGCATTAATGATGATTCATGATGCAGCAGTTGTCTCACCCCTCACATCCAGGATATTGAGAAACATTTATCATAACATTGGCTCCTCTGCACAAGTCTACTTGCCTGCACTGGAATGAGGTCTGGGCCAGCCCATTAGATCAGCATTTTAATAGAAATAAACTTTGCACATAAAATAAAATGATGATAGAGAATGATAAGGAGACTTTCTATCCCTAAAGCACTGATCACACAGGCGCAATAAAATGTGTTTTGGTTCAGTCTTTTGAAACTGACTACTTCTTGGTTAGCTTCAGGTCAGAGTAAGCAAAAGTCATGTTTGTGGTTGATCAACATCGAATCTCCTATTTCATCATTCTCCATATCCTGCCTGCTAAGGAAACAGGATCAACCTTTTTGAATGTTCAGGAAAATTCACATGATAATCATAATGCTGATTCTTAACTCAACTAGGAAAATGTCTGCTTTTACTTACTCTTGCTCCATCGTTCCCAGCTGTGCCTTCCGCACCTTTCTCGCCCATGCCTCCCTGGGAAAATACACACATAGAGTTTATTCTTTTATTGTTTCCTTCCCACACTTGCATAGAAGCTTCATGAGAGCAGAGGTTTAGCTCTCATATTCATTCTTGTATCCTCTAGAATCTAAAATGGTGCCTAGCACTGTACTTTTTCTCAGTAAATATATATTGAATAAATGAATGAGTGAAGACTTGTGACTCAAGGTGGAAGAAAGTTAAATCTTCCCTAGGAAATCATTATTAATAGAAAGTCTAAATAAATGAACTAAAAGAACAAGACTTACTCTGTCACCCTTGGGGCCGGGAGTTCCTGCAATTCCTCTTTCTCCAGGCATACCTTGAAGACCTGGTGGGCCTGTATCTCCAGGAGTCCCAGTTGGGCCTGGACTTCCCTAAAATGAAGAAACAATAAGTGAGCTAACCAATACAATAAGATTGAACTACATGAAATTGCTGTTTTAGAAGTCAAAAATAGTTGAATAGCTGCAATCTCATATAGTTTAACTTAGTGCTTATATTTTTTATTTGGGAAAATTATCTCTTTCTGAGTTGATGTAAAATAATACTTTGCCTTTTTGATTGTTGTTTTGTATTTTCAACTTTTCCCTTTGGAGAAAATTGACCATCAATTCAAATAAAAATGTTATAGTTGTCTTTTGTTTTGTTTTGTTTTCCTGGCAATATCATAGAAAGAGGACATTGCATTACATTCCAAGAAATATTTAATTCTCCAATAATTCTGTAATGTTAAACTATATTGAGGATCATTCAGTGATTATAATGCATATCTTATTCAATCACTCTGGATTCTGAAAACATGATAAGGGACCTCCAGACATAGGATCATAAAAAATTTTACTTCAATTGTAGACACAGAAATTGTATAGTATCTTCTACCATTCACAAAATGGCACCCAAAAAGAAAAGATAGTCATTTTTGCTTTATAATGCTTTCAGATTTCAAAAACTACTTCTTTTGTATATTTTGTAAGCAGAATTGTGGAAAATGAGACAAGGAAAATAGAGCATATTATTAGGAATGCTTCCCAATAAACAGTGCTTTTTTTTTTTAATTTCTCACCTCTGTTTATTACTAGGAGCTCTGGTAGCATAGTGCTTAAGGCACTTGACTGCTAACCAGAAGGCTGGGGGTTCAAACCAACCAGCCACTCCTCAGAAGGAAGGTTGGGCAATCTACTTCTATAGTGATACCACCTCAGAAACCCGAGAAACCTGAGTCAGGTCTGACTCGACAGCACATAACAACAACAACTGTTTGTTACTGGAAGCTATTAATAAAATTTTTGTCAATAAACATTACGAATAATATTGTATATGTGAATGTATCATTATGAGTGCTAGACAATAAGTTCTATCATAAGAGAGAGTCTTCTTTTCATCTGACTCTTTAGTGGCAGGAACGAAATCTAATAGGCAACCAGGGCTCCTAAATGTTTGATGAAGAAGAACATGATAAAATTAAATTTTATTGCAAAAACAAGAAAAAATCATTCTAATACTATTGTGTGTTTATTGAGGAGAAAAATTAGAGCGTGTGAAAGAACTAGATCACTACTGTACTTACTTTTGGACCATCAGGACCATGGCCCCCAGCCATTCCTTTCTCACCAGGGAGTCCGGTTATTCCTGGTTCCCCTCTTTCCCCAGGGTTTCCACGTTCTCCCTAACAGAGAATTGGGATATCAAGTAATTTCAGTGTTTGATCAATCATATCTGTCTCTGGCAGTCTTCAAAATAGCTTCTACTAAAGAAAAATTTACAAATAAGCAAGTGTCAAGTCTCAATTTTCTACTTTAGTGGTAGGAAATAAAATTGAAGAAAGGATGTGCTACTTTCACAGGACAAATATATATTAAAAAAATCTTTTCATTCAATAAAAGAGCTTAATGCTTAAAATAAAACCCACTTGAAAATTACAGGGGCATTTTAAATTTGAAACCAGTGCCAAAGTTAATCACAAGGGAGGAAATACTTACTCTAGGTCCTAATGGGCCAACTGCTCCAGGATCTCCAGGAACACCCTATTAAATGAATTTATAAAAACTTTAAAAAAATCTTTGAGATACTTCTTAAGTATTTATTGGGAAATTTTTCATATCATGTACTTATTTTCTTTTATTATACCATTTGAAGGCTAAATAAACCCATAATATTTAAGAAAAATATGTGTATTTTTGTAACTGATGGGATATCTCATATGTTAGATGAAAATGTTTTCCAGACAAATTTTTATTATTCTTGTATGCTTAATTTTTGAAACAGAGAACATGCAAAATATTATCGCCCAAAGATAGTCCATTAGTTTTTAAGAAACAGCAAAATGCTTGCTGAATGCTATTTGTTCCGTAATGGAATAAGAAGAGATTTAAATACAGAAAAGTGATATAAAAAACTCCTGATTAACAGATGATCTTTTATTAGAAGCAATTCAATTCTATTCAATTGTGTAAATGTTTTTGAGACATAAAGTATAGACAAAATACTTGACTAGGAATTGTGGATGCAAACCACTGCAGTCAAGACCACATTAAAAGTTTGTTTGTTTTCAATTAAAGGAAAATATGTCATTTCCAAACTTCTCTCTCTCATAAAGAAAATAACCTTATAAAGTTGATCTCCATTCCTATTCCTTTAAATTTGTACTCCTCATTGTGGCATGATCTTCCTAAAACCCAAATCTAGTCACATTGCTTCCTACTTAATGGCCTCTCATCTGCTTCCCATTATCCTAATACTGAAGAGCAAATTTGATCCAAATTAAGACCTTCCATCATTTGGTCTATGATCCACCCCTCCAGCCTCATCTTTACCCTTCTCAGCATATACTCACACTCCTGACACACTGAACTACTTTCACTGCCTTAAATTCATCAGCCAGCCTTTGGAACTTTACATTAGCTGCTTTCTTTTCTTACCTTCTCTCCCCTCTCTCACCACCATTTATCCTTCCAATCTCATGACAGATACGTCTTGGCATGAGAAATTTTCCTAACCCCCCAGTCTAAATCAGGTGCATCTTCTGTTTTCATACACATAGTGCTTCCCCTAGCTTAGTATGTAGACACACTATTATTCTGTCTCATCACGCTTTCTAATCTCCTACCTCACTGTAATACAAATCTAACAGGAATATCTTGTTCAGATGGTAAAGGTCAGTGACTAGTAGTCCCAAACACACAGAGAGCTCTATAAATGTGTGATCAATTCTTACAAGGAATAAATGAATCACTCAAAAAAATAATTAATTAAACCCATGTAGAATCACAGCAAAATGATGGTTAATATATTTTCATAATTATTTATAAAGCCTCCACTAAAATTCTATAATTATGGCTAAATATATTGAGGAATTAAGAACACAATCTTGGGAAACAGACAACCTGGGTTCAATCCATATCACCTATGTGACTTTGGGAAAGTTATTTAATTTCTGTGTGCCTCATTTTTACCATGTGTTAAACAGATGAAATAATAATACCTACTAGATAAGGTTAGATGGGGCAATCTACTTCCATAGTAATACTGCCTCGGCAACCCAAGGAGGGGTCACTGTGAGTCAGGTCCCACCCGACAGCACATAACAACAACAACAACAACAACAACAGATAAGGTTGTTTGAAGACTATAAGAGAAAATATATGCAAAGTAAACAAAAATACAAACTGGCACATAACTGCTGTATGAGTCAGAGATTTTCAGAATGGCTGTTATTACTATTTAAAAACCTACCTGATCTCCTGGCTTCCCACCTTCCCCAGGAGGTCCTGGGGGACCAGGAAGTCCCTAAAACAAAAGTAAGGAAATAAAATAGTGAGTGTGTGAAACCTTAATAGGCCACTACTATTAACAGTTCACCTTTGCCAATTCATGGAGCTACATGACTATGCTTTCAAGCAAAAGAAATTATTCAGACACAAGTTAAAAGAGAATGTGAAAACTGTATCTTCTAACACAACACACCAGCTTGTCAGCTTATATGGTTAGATTTTCATTTGAACACCACTTAGCAAAAAGGGATCAATATAACAGGAGGTACCTCATATTTGTAGAATTTCACGGGGCTGAGAGCAATATTTTGGAATACTAGAATATTATTGAAAATCAGCCCTGAAAGTTTTTTTTTCCCTAGATTATAATTGCCTGTGTTTTCAAATAATCTACCATATGTGTATATTTAGATAAGCCAGGAAAATTTATTTAATAAAAAAGTTTTAGACCCAACCCACAAAACTAGATAAGCCTTAAAAATAGTTTAATAAATCTTGTTGAAGTATCAAGAACATTTTATTACTTTTCATTTTTAATAGTTTTGGGTTTTGATCAGTTTTTCATGAGAAGCCTATAACATCTCTTTGAACAAAAATGTCTGATTTTATCCAAATGTTTATCCAATTCATCAAAATAAAGATATTTAAAAAAAAAAAAAATGTACAATTTTATATAATCTATCAAAGTTAGGTATATTTGTTAAGTGAATTTAAGATAATGGAAGAAGAAATGAAGCACTGTCCTAGTGCACACCTGAAAGCCAGTGGGGCCAGGAGGTCCTTGTTCTCCTCTTTCCCCAGCTAGACCCTAAGGCAGGAAGGAAAGAAAATCATGAGCACAGCCGCATCATTATGCTTGTTTCCATCTGTGTTTATGGGAACCACTAGAAGTATTGATATTTCCTTACATTTCTCTCAGTCACATGTTTTTCAGTTTAGCCAGCTAATAAACTGGAGTAAAAGTCATATAATAGTGATGTTTGAAATCCCTCCTGGTAAGAAAATGTTCCCTAAAGCCAGTGAAAGGACTGATTGTATGTATTTTATTTTTGATACAAACATGAAATAACTGGAGTTAATCATAAAATTATAAAAAAAAAAAAAAAAAACTGAAGAAATTGGATATAGAAAAATCCATTATTTTCTTATATTTAATCTGAGAGAATAATACTTCCATAGTAGTTTATTTCTAAGTGCTGTAAGATTTATTAATCAAGCCTTCAAAACTACCAATCTAAAGAAAGGAGAGATAACATTTCAGAATGATATTTAAATTCCAAAAATACTTCTGATAAACAAATAACTTTAATACTTTTAGATAAATACATAGGTCAAAGAATAAATAGATTAGATTCCTTTTCACTCATCCAAAACATAAATTTAAATATGATTCCATAATATACCTTAATGGAAGGTAGATTATAATTAACTATTTCAAACAAAATATGTCATGACATTTTTACTGGCTGAAGACTATTTTCCTTATTTTATATATTCTTCAACTGTTACTCATAAAGACAAAACCTTTGTCATCAGACTTTTAAAGATGTTTAAAATGAAAGACCAACCATTAGATGTAAAAAGGCATGAGATACTATTGCAGAAATCAAACAATATAATTCAATTTCTGCTATCTTGTACTTTTTTAAGTATTCATTTCCGCTGAGGCTTATTATTGGATAAATGTTAACTCTTGAATGAATATCATTGAAAAATGCAATGTGAATATATTCTCAATAAAATATTACATACCGGGGGACCCACAGGACCAGAAGGACCAACTTCACCATCTTTTCCAGGAGCTCCCTGTGTTACAGAGAGATAACTTGTGAAGTGAGGCCATTTGAATTTGAATACTCTCTCTCTATCTATATACACCAGAGCTCTGGTAGCACAATGCCTAAGGCACTTGACTGCTAACCAAGGAAGGTTGGACAATCTACTTCCATAATGATACCGCCTTGGAAAGCCAAGGAGGGGTCACTATGAGTCGGGTCCAACTCGACAGCACATAACAACAACAAAATACACACACACACACACACACACATGACTATGTACACATAATACATGTATAGAGTTATGTATACACATACACTCACATATATACATATATATAGTGGCATAGTGCCTAAGGCATTTGACTGCTAACCAGAAGGCTGGCAGTTCAAACCCAACAGCCACTCCTTGGAAGGAAGATTGGGCAATCTACTTCCGTAGAAATGCCACCTCGGAAACCTGAGGAGGGGTCGCCATGAGTCGAATTTGGTTTTATAAATATATGTATATATTTTTGTTTGTTTATTTATCTTGTTTATAGCAGAAAATACATATTTACCCTCTGCCCTGGAACACCAGCATTTCCTGCTTCTCCAGGTTTTCCAAGGTCACCCTAAAGAATAAATAAAAGTTATTTGAAAATTTAATAAACTTTGCCTAAAACGTGCCTGCTCCAAATGAGGAGTGTGATGAGATGGCAAACACATTATACAATGTACTCACACTGCTACCTTTGGGGCCTGGCAGACCCATACTCCCAGGCTGCCCTCTGATTCCTATGGAGCCTGGAGGACCTGGACGCCCGTCCTCCCCTGGAGCACCCTGCAGAATTTACAAGAGCACTTTAAGCTTCACATAAATCCTAGTAAATATTGCATCATCCAAATGACCACTGGTTTTATTTACTATAAAACTTATATAAGGTTTAAATACCCTATCTTTTTATCTTAATGAATCAGAATAGTTGTGTTTACAAAAAAAAACTTCTTAATATTTTGAGTATTTAGAACAAAGATTTTATTCTTATTCTATACACAAGTTTCATCTTTATTTCTCCTTATAGATAATGAAAATTCAGGACTACTATTTCACATTTTCAGTATAAAGAGAGAATGTATAAGCCATCAAACAAGCCTGCATGCCTTTTAAATGTATAAAATTGGAAGGAAATCAAGAAATGAGAATGTTATGAATAGACAAATTTTACAAATATTGAAAGTATACATCTTTTCAACTTTTTCACTGTTACCAGGGAAGCAATTTCAATCTCAAACATCAATCTCAATGAAATGTGATCAACTATTTTGTAAATCTGAAAATAGGTAGCCCCTAAGCATTTACTTCTGAGACCATTGTAAATGTGCAAACATGTCAGCATCCATGTAATCAAAAGCATTAACCTCAAATAAATGTTTTATCATTTGAGTTGCTTGACTATTAATAAATACTGATGGCTGTGGAGTTTGGTAAATTACTTACCAAAGGTCCAAGTTTTCCTTCAGGACCTTGAACACCAGGATTTCCTGTCAGACCCTGAAAATGTAAACAGTTGTGAGTTTGTTGAGGATCTGCAATTGAAAGTAAAAATTCTGAAGAACCAAAATAACGTTGTATTAAAAGTTCAGTTCCACTTTACAATGCCAACTATCACTGGTCTTACCACTACACAAACTCATTGACTTATCAAAGGCTGTTCCCAATCTGGTTTCAGAAGGATACCCATTGCCATAGAGTCAACTGTGACATGTAGAACTGCCCCATAGTGTTCCCAAGGCTATAATCTTTATAGAAACAGATTACTACATCTTTCTCCCATGGAGCTATTAGTGGGTTCAGACCACTGACTTTCCAGACAGAAAACACAACAAGCCCACAGAACAGCCCCAGGTAGGACTCTGGAATAGGAGGAATCATCACAGACAGCCCAGTCTTACAGGGGCCACCTTTAAGTCTCTCTTGGTTGGGACAGGTCAGATGTGTGGAAATAAGATCAAGTGATGGGTACAGAAGCCAACCTGGTTTAGAAACTTTATGTCATCAATGCCTTGTAGCAGCCCTTAGGATACAGTGTCCTGATGCCAGCAAGGAGAATGCCTCAATGCAAAATATTCCAAACTCAGAAAACATCCTGGATGCTTCTGACCTCAAAAAACCCAAAGCTATGACTTCCCACCAGGTATTTATAGTTCTTTCATAGTCTTCCAAGTCCAGATATGGTCTAAAGCAGGGGCTATCTTCATTTTAAACTATGTTGACCAGTAATCCAATTGTCATACCAACTTCATCAGATGTCTAGGAAATAAAGAATACCTAAGCAAAGGTGAATCCAAGATCAGTTTTCCAAATAGAAGGAGTAAGGGCTATGGTAAACTTTCACTCATACATTTAATGCTGGGTTCAAGAGAGATAAAAGAATTTATGTTGAACTAAATGTATCTTTCTACCCAACAACTTTTTGTGTAAGCTTTTATTCTTTAAGGAGCATTGTTGGAAACTGCGTATAAAGACAATTTCATTGTTTAAATGAATTTTCAGTGAAATTTGTTAAAATTAAATTCCTAATGGTATCAGGAATTCTCCCTGCCAAAAGTCAAACAAGATTGCTAACAAAAAAAGAAAAATGATAAAATGTTTTAACATCATATGGTCAATCTATTAATATACACTCCTTTAAGAAAAACAAGAAATCACTGATTATTATGTTTTCATACATGATAAAAATAACAAAGTCGTACTGAAAAATAATGGATTATGTTCAAAGCTGTATAAACAAGGACATTTTTCCAAGTTGTGAAAGCAATCTAAATAATTTTATTTATTTATTTTTAAGAATGCACAAGAATATTTCTTCTAAGATGATGGTTGATGTAGCAAACACCTACAGTGTTCTTACCCGAGCACCTGGCAGCCCAGGTTCACCTGGACGTCCTGGATCCCCCTGACCTCCTTTAGGTCCCGAAGACCCTACAGGCCCCCTCTCTCCTTGAGCCCCCTGTTTCAAAGCAAAACAAAATTTGTCATGACATAAAGGAGTGAAAAAGAATAAAATTGTGCATATAGATGTTTCTTATTGAAAATGTAAGGCATTATAGTCTAACAGACAATAGTTTGTCAGAGTAGTTAATGAAAGATTTCTTTGTAAACTGTGTCACTTTATACTTTGATCTAAATTGGAATCCCTGTAGTAGTAGTGTTTTATTGTGGCTAAAGGGAAGTCTGAAAAGTTCCAAATTCTTCCAACTATCATCTTTCCCCCCAGACCCATATAACAGAATGTTTATGCAACAAGGGTTTGGAGTTAGGCCTAACATCTGTGCTCATGTTGTTTCTGGATTTGGCCCATGTAAACCAGAGGTAGATCACCAGACTGGAAAAAAGTCTCTGTTCCTACCCAGGATTGCCCACTTGAGTATAAACATTGATGGGGTAACCTTACCTTTGGTCCAGGTAAACCATCAGAGCCTGGAAAACCACGATTTCCAGGAGCACCCTACAAGTGACCAAAATTGATGTTGGTATTTTTATAATAAGTAATTTTTAATTTTTAATATTATAAAGCTTTAGGAGTCGAGATCAAGCCACCTGGCAATAAACAGATAGATACACAAATTGACCATACAGAATAAATTTTAAATGTTGAAGATGATGTAAGTGCTTATTAAAACAATTATTCAAATCAAGAATTTTTCTAACAATTCATTGTAATTTTAAATATAGAGAAATATTTTTATCTCAATGACAGGCAACAAAATGATTCTTTCCACAGGGATCAAAATGTCAATAATAAGGGGCATTCATGTCGTTTTATATGTAAAATCCTTGGTATTATTTGAAGCTATATACAAACATAAAATGAGATTATTGTTGTCCCTTTAAGACTTGTTTCATACTCCAGTGACAGTAACTTCTTTAGTTCTTCAAAATCAACTAGCCCTCCCAAACTGTTGGCTTTGCATTTGCTGTTTCCTCTTCCAAGAATGCTCTTTCTCCCAGGTTCTCCTTGGTCCATTCTCATCTGCAGGTCTGTGCTGAAATGGCACTTCCTCAGATAACTCTATTTCCTAACCACCTAATTTAATGTTGCACTGCTGTCATAATACCATAGTTGCTTTCCCTCACTTCACCCTGTCATCTGATAAATGTTTATAGTATTCATTAAAATTGTACAATTTATTTTTGTTTTATTTACTTCTTGACTTGTTTATTGTCTACCTCACCACTGGAATATAAGCACTATTGGGTCTGGGGCCATAGCTAACTTGTTCATTGGTGTATCTTTAGCACCAATACATTAAATTGTCATAATGTAGTTTAATAAATATTAATTGAATGAATGAAGAATGATAAACAATTGGCTCCTTCTATTCTCACACAACCTTATCAAACTGTACAAAGCACCTGCATTTCTCTTAATGCTCCAGTGTCCCATACTATCCCAAAGTGGAGCATGTAATTCCCCCATGCGTACAGGGGTTTATTTTATTATTCAAAGCTTACCCTTTCTCCCACTGGGCCTGGAGGACCAACTGTTCCTGGATCACCTCGGGGACCTCTTTTGCCTTCTTCACCAGGTGGGCCAATTGGACCCTGAATACCATGTGGCCCCTATTGAAAACAGGAAGACAATAACCAGGGGAAAAAAAAAAAAAAAAAAAAACATGACAAGTGATTTAATTCTGGATGACTCATTTAATAAAGTAAATCACAAATTTTGAATGATACTAGCAAACTCTATCTCAAGGTGCTATTATCCTCATTGTTATTATTTTAGAGGCTGGAACATTTGAATTATACACTTTTAGACAAGATTTATGCTTTTCTCATTATTTGAAAAAAGAAAAAAAAAAGTGAAGCCTTACTGGTTCCCCTTTTGGTCCTGCTTCTCCTTTAAAACCTGGAAATCCTGGATCACCCTAAAAAAACCCATCAGTATTATAAGAACCAAGACATTTAGCCAGTCCACACTTCTCTAATTCATTGCAATAAATAGGCCTTAAAACAATCTGTAGCTGACTCTGCAAAGATCCAGCAGTATAGAACCATTTTTCAAAAATTTTCAATCTTGTAGAACTTGTAAATTGTAAAATTCCAGTATAATCTGGTAGCAATCCATTTATTTTTTTACAATTGGCTTAAAGAGATTTATTTTTAAAGCTTTTCTTTTAATCATGCATTCTAAAATACTTAGAATTATTCACTTTATATTCTAATTTGATCATTAAAATTAGAACTATGACAACTTCTCCAGAATTAATTATGACAATCACCAGAAAATAGTACCACGGGACAAGTGATTTAATTCTGGATGACTCATGTAATAAAGTAAATAATAAATTTTAAACTACATCAACAAATTCTTTCCATTCCAAGGTGCTACTTAGGGTTTGTTTTAGGAAACAGACTTAGAAAATAATACCAAATAATTTTATATTTATATTCTATTTTATGGGCTTTGCAGTTTCAGAGCATTTTATCCTTGTGTCCTGGGGTTCAGTGTACATATGTCTTTAAACACAAATTATGTCTTAGGAATCAGATTGCCATATTCAGAACATGGTAAAATCAATTGTCACATATCAGCCACACTCATGTTTTAGTCAATCTTTCAATAGTACTTAAAAAGGATTTCTAAGAATGACCAAATTACTTACACTATTTGTTTAAAGTAGTACTAGAAAAAATATTTTTATATATAATAAGTTTAAAAATATGTAAGTACAACTTCTCAATGTGTTTATTTCTTATGTGCTTATCACATTATTTTTTCTAACAAGTGGTTTATACAAAACATGGAAACTCTCCATATGAGCAATATGTTAGAATTACTCAAGACTAATGAGTTCTGGTAGCCTAGTGCTTAACACCCACCAGCCACTCTTCGGAAGGAAGATTGGACAATCTACTTCCATAGTGATACCGCCTCAGAAAACCAAGGAAGGGTCACTATGAGTCAGGTCCGACTTGACGGCACATAACAACAACAACAACAACTCTCAGTAAATAGTTGTTGAACCCATTTTTAGCCAAATTGCCATTATAAATCACCATTAAATCTCCATATTTCCTCACACTGAACTGCAAAATATTTCCACAACTGTTCACCATTCAACTACTCATAAAATTCTGTGAGGTGGACTATGAAATGATGACCTTATTATTTTAAATAAAAGAACATTAAAATTTAACAAAATGCAGTAATGTTCCCCTTAGGATTTAAATATCTATATAGTAAATTGATGTTTTAGCTTTCACCTTACAGAGATTCTAATCTTTATTTCCCTCATTCAGATAAGTCACATTGTCTATGTTTCATTACAATTTGTGCTATTTTTTTGCAACATTACCGGCTGGCCTCGAATTCCTGGAGTTCCAGTGCTACCTTGAGGTCCTGGAGATCCAGGAGGGCCCGCTGACCCGGGAGGACCAGAGGTACCCAGAGAGCCCTATCAGAGAGCAAGATTGACATGATGAGCAGAGATGTAGGTAGAAGTCTAGAGTCAGAATCAAAAGATCACATTCATTTCTCCTTTTTGAATCATCTGTGCAGTTACTCACCGTTGGGCCTTTGGCACCAGGAGTACCATCAGTTCCCACTGCACCCTAAAGTAATGAAAAGTATATATAACATGAAGTCTTATCTAGGAGCATATGGGGCGGTACTCAGATGTCCATCTATTTTCCAAATGGAGGCAGCAAAAATTTCAAAATAAATCAACCACCACTATATCATAAAATCGGTTATCATGACTAATACCACAGCCCCACAGTAAGTCAGATTTGACAGGAGAAATGTGGGTTTGTTTTTTAGTTTAAAGCACTCATTTAGATTTCAAAGAGAATGTATTGAAATGGGTTACACTTGTACTGCTGTTTACATCTAGACAGCTTTCTGGGCTAGGTTTTAGACATTCGGGGAACTTACAGGAAGACCTTGCGAGCCAACTGGACCTGGTGGTCCAGTTTCACCTCTCTGTCCCTGAGGACCTTCTGGGCCTCGTGCCCCAGTGGGACCGGCTTCGCCCTAAAGGGACGTAAAGAAAATGTAAAATTAAGAAAAAAAATTAGATGTGGCATGGTACAAAGTTAATTGCTTATTTTGGAATTTTACATTTTAAACTCACACATTTTCAGGGACAAAGAACAGAAAGAGGTTTGTTTATTCCAGGGATGTTTGTCTAACCTAGCTTATGAAGTTGGCTCACATCTACCTACCCCTTCACATGTGATGATGCCCCTTGCCACTTCACTAGGACTGTTCTCTATACCCTAACCTACAATTATGAAAACCTATGCATCTGTCAAGTAAGCTTAAATTCTCCTCTGAATCTCCACACAGTCTAGAATTTCTTCTACCACAGTTATTAGATGTTTTTACTTATTACATATTTAACATTTAACATAATCTAGATTCATAATGAAAAACTGGGAACAGCCCTACAGCAGGTACTTAGTTGCTCAAAGAAGAAAACAGTTTCTTCTCCCTAAATAGTTTGCTTTTGCTATGTTTTTAGGTAAATACTCAACTACTTTGGCTGACTCGACGGCACATAACAACAACAACAACAACAACTCAACTACTTTAAGTCCTCTTCTGTTTAAACAGCACGAGTACATTAAGAGTCTTATAAACAACACAAAACCAAATGAGGGAGGAAAATTTATCAGATTAACTACGCTGAGGTCTTGCATCTGGTCAGTGTAAACCTAGACATTTCAGATCCAGGAATGGTGTTTTGCAGTTAAATCTTGATGTGGCATAAGAGGATAAACTAAAATATTTCCTCGCATTGCTAGAATAGTCCAGTATCACCTAAAATATGCTATTGAGAGGAGTTCTTTAAGCTTGTGAAACTCACTCTAAGAAATTGTATGTACAATTTTATATCTTCATTACAAAACAATAAGTTATTGATTCAGTATAAAAACAATGTATAAAATTATATGATTTTTACAATATTAGATAGGATTTAATTTGTTAAAATTCAATTCTATTTACCTTTCAAGAAAAGAATTAATTATACCTGGTATATAAATGTCTAACATACTTAATATACTTGACAAGTTTTGGCAACTATATATATATAACCAAATGAGGGAGCTACTCTAATTCTCCTTTCAACACAAGATAGAGGTCCAGATTTCAGAAATAAAAATACAGAATGTGCAGTTATACTTTAATTCAAACAAACAACAAATAAATTTTAGTATAAGTTTATCCTATACAATATTTGGGAAATACTGTACTAAAAAATTTTTATTTGCTTATGTGGAATTCCAACTTAATTGGGTTTCTGTACCCCTTTTGGGTTTCTGAGGCAGTAAATCTTTACAGAAGTAGATTGCCCAGTCTTCCTCCCATGAGTGGCTGGTGGGTTTGAACCACCAACCTTCCGGTTACCAGTCAAATCCCTTAGGCACTACACCACCAGAGCTCCTCATATTAGGTGCTTAGGTAGATCTAATTCTAGATGGACAAGAAAAACTAAAATTGAATGCCTTAATAGGTTTATCAGTATCAATAAAACACATACACCCCCTATGATCCCTCATCACTGAAACACTAAGAGCTGATGTGAAAGTGTATTCTTTGTTCAGAAAGCAAGAGATCATGGCACAATCTTACAGGTGTAACAGAATCTTGGTCAATAAGAAAGACCTGGGAGTTTTATGCTAAGGGAGCAGGCCAGGGAACCAAATTCTGAGAAAAAAATAGTTTCATTAGAAGTTTTTGCTTTCTTCTGCAGTTTTAGTAGTCTGGTGATCTACTTCCAAAAATCAGTGAAGAAAAACCCTATTGGACCACAATGGTCTGCTCCAAAACCAATCAGGTCATGGGGAAGGCTCACGATGAGGCAGCATTTCATTCTACTGTGCATGTGGTCACCACACATGGTGATGACTCAACATCAGCTAAGAACAACTCTTTAATAAGAAGCATGAACCTATGTTGAGGGCTTCCTTTTTGCATTAGGCACTATGCTAAGCATTTACATGGGTTTTCTCTCGAATTTTCAATGCAATTCCATAAAAAACAAGAGGTAGGTGATAGTCCATGGTCACAGTCATTTTTGTGTAACAGAATCTTATAAGTAAATCCCTTCTTCAGGATGACAAAACTTTGTGGGATAATCAAATATACTGTCTTACTTATGATTTGAAAGTAGCATTCTGAGTTTATTTACTGATTTAACAAATAAATAATCTTCATTTCCTTCTACTATAATCCTTGAATTTATCTTCTAAAATATTGAGAGAAGGAACAAATTGTGACTCATTAAAAATGTGAGTCACCCAGCAGGATACTTTAATCCATTCCCACATGGAGAGCCAAATATCCCCACTCCTTTAATGACTAAGAAAATGGGAGTGCGGGGTGAAAGTGAAGGCCAGCACTGCATGAAAGCAGGGCCTTTTGACAACTTTTGATCTATTCAACTGCCCTAGTGGTGCCATGGTTAAAGCACTCAGCTGCTAATCAAAAGTCTGGTGCTCTCGTCAGCTGCTCCACGGGAGAAAGATGTGGCAGTCTACTTCTGCGAAGATTACAGCTTGCTGCTATGAGTTTGGAATCAACTTGATTCTGGTTCTGAGTATTGTTTAGAACTTTTTGCTGTTTATTATTGCCAGGCACTCTATCCAAGAACAGAATTCCAATTCAGATTAAAGTTGTTATTCCTTGCAGCTGTGTAAATTGTCCAGTTAGAGTCACAACCCAATAGATTCTTTGATATTACAATTGCACGATTGTGAGTATTTCTCCTTAATTATATAATATATATCAGTTTTTCATTTTCATTATTTTTCTTCTTATTATAATGGACAATGAGAACATGATGATATCTTGGCTTTTTACTTAGTTGAGAACAACTTTCATACTCTTCAATTAATAAAGCAGCACTCTTAAATCTGGAACTTAGGTAAACAGATAGAGTTAAATATATTGACATCTTACCTTCATTCCGGGATTTCCTGGAAAACCAGAAGATCCAGGTATCCCAAGAGGACCCTATTAAAATGAAAGCAATCAGACATGTTTGTAAACAATATCTAATTAGGTTGCCTTTTATTCTTTGCTACTCTTAGTATTTTTAGGAGCTCTGGTAGCATAGTGGCTAAAGCACTTGACTGCTAACCAGAAGGCTGGCGGTTCAAACCCACCAGCCACTCCTCGGAAGGAAGGTTGGGCAATCCTACTTCCGTAGTGATACTGCCTCGGAAACCCAAGGAGGGGTCGCTATGAGTCGGGGCCGACTCGACGGCACATAACAACAACTTAGTATTTTTACACACAATATAATAATGTTTTTATACTTCAAAATCATAACAGTAATAATGTAGTTTTATTACAAGAACCTTCCAAACTTGACATAAAATAGTATAAAAAGACATATCTAATTAATTAAGCACAATAGCGTTTCTCAGTTGTAACATATAAGCAGTTTGAAACAATTGGTGCTTGAGACATATACTTTATTCTGCTAACCAACTAATAAATATAATATTTAGAAAGTTAGGTGTTATACCAAAGTCCGATAATGCATTGTATAAAAATGATGCTCAAGAATCAGATGGATATTTCAGAGTTACTTTTTTCAGGCTAATAATGAGTACACATAATCACTATCTTACATTTGGAAATGCACAGACTTTATGCTATTGATTTCAAGGCAAGACTTAAAAGAGAATGAGAGTAAGTGGAATTCTATTCTAAGTTATCCTGGTTCTTTTTTGAGTATTGTATTTTAATCTTCTCAGTTTTGAATTAATAACAGGCCTTTGAAACCATAGTTATTTTTCCCTCTTATATTTTATTTCCTTTTTATGAGTAACAAGAATACCTCCTTAGGGCAGATAATCTTAATTAGTGTAACTGTATTCCACTTTGGCGTAAGGAAAAAACTGAAAGCCTTAAATGTTTTTCTTTTGTACTCTTTCAATATTGGCCCATGTTCATCATGAATATTCCCTAGAAGTCTTTTTCATTGGTATTATATTAGCACAATATGCCTTGTAACCCTACATTTGTTATTTCAAGAAGAAAAAAAATGTTTCTATTATAGTCGTTTCAGCAACAACTTTGTGTTCAGTTACTACAGAATTGTTAGGGGAGAAAAACTGTGGATATATAATATATGTCATTATGTGCTGGTGTTTGTGAAATCCTACTTTTTGGCTTAATACAACAGCTGCCCTGTGGAATCTCCTGTGGAGCTTTAAAAAAAAAAAAAAAAAAAAAAACACTAATTCTAGGTTTCAGCACCTGAGATTATTTTCATTATTCTAGTAATCAATATTTTTAAAAGCTCCCTGGGTAAATTCCAATGTGTACCTAGCATTAAAAACTACTGTTTTAATGACTAATGGATAAAGATTACAACATGATGTCTAAAGTACTAGTATGCATATTTTATTAGTAACTAGTTCTAATCGTATATGAAATAATCTCTTATAGATGTTATTTAATCTGTTTTTTGAAAACTACAGATGCCACTATTAAAATTACATAATTTGATTGAAGAAAACATATGTATGCACCAGCTGTTCTATTTGTTGTTGTTGTTGTTATGTGCCGCCGAGTAGGACCTGACTCATAGTGACCCCCCCTTGGGTTTGCCAGGCAGTATCACAATGGAAGTAGATTGCCCAACTTTCTTTCCGAGGAGTGACTGGTGGGTTTGAACGGCCAGCCCTCTGGTTAGCAGTTAATTGCCTTAGGCACTATGCTATCAGAACTCCCAGCTGTTCTATAGTTCAGAAAATATATTTATATTGATCTAGGCTATTTTTCTTTTGTACTTTAAATCACAGAGTCATTTTGTTTGCAAGGATATAACTTAAGTGCTCCTAACAAATAAAATAAAAGTAGAAACTTTGATCCACAGCAAAAGTTACAAGTACTATTTATCCACCTCGTTCGCAGACTGCTACATTTTTCTATTTTTCTCCCATGGAACGGCTGTTGGGTTCAAACCGTCCACCTCTCAGTTACCAACTGAGTATTTAACCACTATTCTACCAAGGCTCCAGCCTAGAAAACTCTGTGAGGTATTTCTAGCCTACCCTATAGGGTCTCTGTCAGTCAGAATCAATTCAAAAGCACACATCAAAACCAGCTCTTTGGTATGTTGTCTGCCTCTGCATTAACTTTAGTTTACATCCTTATAATTTCTCTCTGGAATTATTCTAATGATATTCAAACTCATATCATAGCCTATAATCCTCAGCCACTTTGATTTCTCACATTTCTAGCAGATGACGTTTCTGGTCATGAGACTCCCATGCTTAAAACCCTTAAACGGTTTCTCACTAACTATTACCAAAAAATAAAGGCATTCAAAACATTTTGCCATCATTATACAATAGCCCTTCGTGATATGGCTCCGGCCTCTTTATCCAATTTTACTCTACTAGTAATTCCCTGAAGGAGGCCTTGTAGTACCATGGTTAAAACATTCAGCTCTAACTGAAAGTTCCATGGTCCAAACCCACCAGCTGCACTCTGCAGGGGAAAGATAGGATGGTCTTCTGTAAAGATCTACAGCTTTGGCAACCCTGTGGGGAAGATCTTCTCTGTCCTATAGATCTGCTATCACTTGGAATGGACTAGACAGCTGTGGGTTTAGTATGTCCCCAAGTTCATCATATCTTTTCATACATCCAACTTTCTATATCCAACATACTATGTTCTGGCCCATTTTATCAACTCATCTTTCAAGACTTAGCTTGAAAGTTGCTCCTCTTTAAATATTCCTTGACATCCTTCTCCCATTGCAGGTTCAGGCATTTCCTCCTGTATGTTCCCATAATTATATTCCTGTGATGCTAACAGTAGCATTATATTACAATTATCAATTGATATATCTGTCTTCCTGGCTAGACAAGCAGCTTTTAAGGCAAATACTTTGTGTTTATTACCTTTGTATACCAACTGTCTGGAAAATATTAGGTGCTCTTTAAATGTTCATGGATGTACAAATGGAAAAATGAGTAAACAAATGAGTGAATGAATATGAAAGTAATAAAACTCACCATTGGCCCTGGTTTTCCAGGCATTCCATGAGCACCTCGTTGCCCCTAAATAGCAGAAGAAATGGCAAAGAAAGCTAAGGTTACCTTATCTACAGTATTTGCTCATAATTGCATGTTTTTTTAAATTTTTTCCAAGTAAAAATTTGAAAAAAAATGAGTATTTATCAGTGTTTACTAAAACAAGTCTAGCTGTAATAAACATAATAAATTGACATTTAAAAAATACTGGTAAGGTATCATATCAATTCTTATAGCAATCATAAAAAAAAAAAAAAAGGACAAAAAAATAGATACAAATTAAAAGCAGGAGCCAGTATATTTCACAACTGAGAACATGGCTTCAGCTTATATATCCAGCGGCATGACAGGCGGTCAGATTTCATTGGCCAGGGCAGGAAAGGGCTCTCCAGTAGGTCCAGGCTATGAGTTAAGAAGCTCTGCTGCTTGGGTCATATAATCTAACAGACTCATGGAAAACATGCTGCATGGAGGTTGTGGCAAGTCTAAATGGGAGAATCACAACACAGGCCTTATGTCCTCCTGATCATGAGACACTAAATGTACAGGAGACTGAATCACTCCACCATGTAAGCCACCCAGACCAGCAGAAATATTATCTATCTACCTGTCTATCTATTTATCTAATGATAATCAATGAACTGAATCTAAACTAGCTATTAAAGGGAGAGATAGTAATTGTTGTTGTTGTTATGTGCCGTCGAGTCGTCCCCGACTCATAGCGACCCCTCCGGGGGTTTCTGAGGCGGTATCACTATGGAAGTGGATTGCCTAACTTCCCTTCCGAGGAGTGGCTGGTGGGTTTGAACTACTAGCTTTCTGGTTAGCGGTCAAGTCTCTTAAGCAGTAGGCTACCAGAGCTCCTATGTAATTATCAGCAACTCTAAAACTAGTTTCAGCAGTGGAAGTGTGGTTTGACCTATCTGACTTTTGTAATTTTTCTTGGGAAAAAGATCAACTAGAATTCTAAAAGGAGTTATTCCCACATATTATATAAAGCAAGTGTATTTAAGCAGTGTAGAGTGAGCCTGTAAGAGATGCTGTTGTGAGCAGCCCAGATCCCCTTTCGGGGCTGAAACACTCATTCTGCAAGCTACTGGAGTGTTGCCTGCTGACAGTTCACAGCTGAATCTCTACCCAGGAATTGTTCTCAGTTGAAGGACACAGCCTCTCCCCAGGTTACACCCTTCCCTATGGACAACCCATATCCAGTAAGTGCTCACTGCCAGAAATGAGGGCGGGGGTGGTACAAAGATACAGATCTCTAGCCTTGAATTGGGACTCTGAAAGGTCATCAAGGTTCAGAATTCCCCACAGGATCAGCTGAGGCTTCTGTTCCAAATCCATGTGGTTCATTCATCTTGTCCCTCCGTCCAGTTCTCTTTCCTTCACTCTCACAGATGTGATTGCCAAGCATACTGCTAATTTTTTTTCTACACACACATCTCCTCAGAGTCTGCTTCTCAGAGAAACCCAATCTAAGACATAAGTGAACTCTCTAAGATCATATTAATGACTGAAATATTTTCAGAAGTACATTTCTTATACAAAACTTGTTACTTTTTCATTTTGATTTTCTAGGACAACAGGAATAAAGAAATCATTTTATTTCAAATTCCAAGTGTCTGACTTTTATAAACTTATATTTTATAAAAAGTATTTCTATAAAAACTAGAAAACACATTACAGAGATTAGAAATCAGAATATTTGATAAATATAAAAATCTGATCAGAAATCAGAACCACATGAATTTTTCACTGAAATATTCCAAACAGTTGCAGTTTTTCCTAATGAAAATGTGATAATAAGAATTGTAAAAGTGTCATACAATTAAAAGCATGAGAAATATAAATCCAAAATTTAAAAAGTATTAAGATAAAACCCAAATTGAAATGAATAAGAATTTCCACTGTATCAGGAATTTATGAGCAGAAACATTTGGAGAAACATCTCATTTCCTGTTATTCTTCAAAGTCCTATTTAAAATTCAGTATAGTCTCCTAGATATTTTTAACAGGGCAACTATACTTGGATGTAGGAATTCTACACCGCTCACCATACATAAGAATAGAAAGAGAATCTGTTTGGATTTATTATTAATTGATGAACTAAGGTTTTGATTTTGTTATTATTGTAGTTAGTTGCTGAGGTGCAGTGAATTACTTGGTGTGGGTCTCCTAGCCATGGTCTTTGTGACTCCCACCAGATGACTGGGTGGAACTATGTAAATGTGAAGTGCTTGTCGCCCACCAAAGGCATTGGATAGCTTGCTAATAATGTAAATAAGGTACATGGTACCCTTCAGGGATGAGACCATGGAAAATAGGTGTATGGAACCCTAATGTGGGGATTGGTCTGTTTGGTTATTCCACTAGGCTTAAAGTGAGCCCCCCTAGAGGCGGAAAGAGGGGATCCCACCACTTTCCAGAGAGAAGAGCCAGAGGTGGAGTGGAACATGCCTTTCTACCCAAGATCCCTGTACTGGACCTCCTTTGCAGAGAGTCAGCAGAGAGAAGGCAGACAGATGGTGGCATGGGAACCAAAAGGCATGAGATGGTACAGTGGCCTTCTCAGCCCCAGAGTGAGGAAGTTTAGTGCCTTTGGGTGGGAGCCTCGCTGGCAGAGTACAGTGCACCTAGGTGCATCTATCAGCTGAGTTAAAGAGCTTTGTAACACTTGCCTGAGCAGGGCAGAGGCCAGGCAGAGCGGCCAAGGGCCAAAGAGAAGTGTGCCTGGAAGGCATGGCCAAGGGGAGGCAGTCCTGATGGAAGAATAGTATCCTAAGTGCTCCTGAACCTGAATTGTAGCCTGCTACTTCCTTAATAAACCCCATAATCATATTGTCTGTGAGTTCTGGGTGGCCACTGCAGTAAATTATTCAATCCAGCAGAGAAGTAGTGACTATCTTGGGTGGGAAGACAGGTGTCAGAATTGGTAAAAAGATTGGAGGGTGGTGGCATATCAGGCCTCATAAGAATCAGCTTCTGATCATTGGTGTTGATCCTTCTCTCTCTCCCCCTTGTGAAGTTAGAAGAGATCAGAGGAGGATGTCACTTCCATGCCCTTTTTGTAGGTGCCATCCAGTCAGTTCCAACCCATAGCGACCTTATGTACAACAGAACAAAACACTGCCCTGCCCTGCACTGTCCTCACAATCACTGCTTTGCCTGAGCCCAGTTGCAGCTACTGTGCTAATCCATTTTCGTTGAGGTTCTTCCCCTTTTTTGCTGACCCTCTGCTTTAGCCAGTATGGTAGTTAAGTTGTGTGTCAACTTGGCTGAGCCTGGTTTTGAGTGGCTGGGCAGCTGGATATCATTATTCTCCATGAAGAGACCAGTAATCAATTCAATGGTGGGATCTACTGAAACAGCTGAGTCACTACCTTAAAGATGTGGTCTGTTTCCAGTGTATAAGTAGAACCATTGAGAAAGGTCTCTGGAGATTTTTGGTACCCTTGGACCCTGCACATAGCCGAGCCTTCAGCTCAATGGCCTGCCATGTTTTCTGCCAATCTTAAGACTGTTAATGGACTTGAATTAGTGGCTTGCCATATTGCTTGATAATCTTGGGACTGTGCCATTTCACTTGTCAACTTTGAGTTTGTCAGCCTTAGCAGCTAGAAGCTACCTGAGTTAAGAGACGCCTCCAGCTTCATTGGGCTGGGAACAAGAGGTAGAGCTGAAGCCCAAGGTAGAGGAGCGCTTACCTAGCCCCTAGAGCTGGCACTTTGAACTTGACCTTCTAGCTTCTTAAACTGTGAGAATAAATCCTTATTTGGTAAAGCCACCCATTTGTGATATTTCTTGTTAGAGCAGCACTAGAGGACCAAAACACCCAACAAGATTTTGATTTAGATAGTAGTAGTGACCATGAGCAATTATTTAATTTTGAAATGCTCCAGTCCCCTTATCCTTTGAGAGGGTACATTAATAGCACCTAACTTTCAGGATTGTGAGGAATATTAAATAAAGGTATTTGGAAAATGCTGGTCATATAGCACATGGTTGGTAAATTATTATAGTTTAGTTACTATAATGAAGCCCATGTTTTTGCACTAAGTCTTGCTGCCTTTCATTTTCATTATTCTTCAAATTTTGTTATTAGAGATGTACTGTGGTTATGTAAAATGGAAACATTAAGATAAGCTAGATCTAGTATGCTTGGGAATTCTCTGTACGAACTTTGCAACTTTTCTGTAAAGTTAAATTTATTGCAAAATAAATTTAAAAAGAAAAAGGCTGCCAATATTGTTAATCTCATTTCAAAAGAACATTCAGTACTGCAAACCTGAAAAAGACTTGAAACACACACCTCAGGATTTAAATCAAGAATGTATACTTACTGGAGCACCTTGTGGCCCAAGTCGCCCTCTCTCTCCTGGCATTCCTCTCGGACCCTGTAGATGAGAGCAGAAAACATCTCTGAAAGAATCTAATTTGAACTCCAGGGTAGTTTGCCTACACTACTCAATCCAGTAGTCCAATATAATTTACTACCAAACAGTAGAACTTAGAACTGTGGAGTATTTAGATCTGTGGAGATACATAATCTACCACCATTTAACTAAACAGATTTCACTTAATCTGCTTTTCATGAGATGAATCTATAATAATTTTTATTTGCTGACCCAGCACAGAAAAAGAATGAGTATTTATTTGACAGTTAAGAAAAGCAATGAATTGCAGTAGCCTTTTCCATTTGAAGGGCCAAACTGTCTTTCCATGCTGTGCCTGTCACGTAGTAGCCAAAATTACTTCCATAGCTAACATATGTTTCCCCATATCCTTTTATTTATTTATTTTTTTTCATTTAAACACTCTTAATTTAATCCAAAAGGCAAAGAAATAACAAAGAATTAAATCGATACCCACCAGAGGACCCATAGCACCCAATGGACCAGTTGGGCCAGCTTCACCCTAAAACAAAAATGAAATTACACCACAGTATGAGAAACCTACATCTGATATTCACAGCACTATGTTACACGTGTTTATCATTTTAAAGGCATATTGTCAAAGCAACCATTTAAAGAACCTCAATATTGTGTTCTATTTTCTTTTCTCAAAATGCAATAGAAATTTAATTTCTATAGAAATAAGTGTAAAATAAAGTTGAGGATTTAAATAAGACTGTTGGAACTATCATACCCAGCCATAATAATTAGTATCAGAAAAGTATATTTAATAATAATTTTTAGTTCATATGAAACCTCACAAAGCTAAAATTACTATAATATTTCTTTAAGATCTATTATAGTAATCTTAGAAATAAAAATTTTAAAACTAAATGCTTTTCTACATATGTATCTATGATGCTTCTCACTGGAAAGTCCCCCACCTTTCCTTGATGTTCTCTCTCCCTCTGAAACATATATTTTTGCTTGGCCAAAAGCTCCGGGATTAAAAGGCAACTAAATAATGGGATTAATGACCCATCTAAACCTCTCTGGTAGCATAATGCCTAAGGCACTTGACTGCTAACCAGAAGGCTGGCGGTTCAAATCCACCAGCCACTCCTCGGAAGGAAGGTTGGGCAATCCTACTTCCATAGTCATACTGCCTTGGAAACCCAAGGAGGGGTCGCTATGAGTCGGGGCTGACTCCACGGCAAATAACAACAACAACAACTAAACCTCTCAACTATCTTTAAGAAAGACAAAGAATCTGTAGAGGATGGATTCATAGGGCCATGTTCATATGAAGATGACACCCACCCTACACTGGCAGAAACCCAGTGCTATGCTGGTTATTCTTGGTGGTGTAGTTAGGTTTTATTATTTTTCCTGGTAAAATTATTGCTGACTCATCTATGAAAAATTACATTTGCCTATTTAACCATTTATTTATACTACTTTTTTCCTCCAGAATTATTGAAGGTTATTGAAACAGAATTGAAATGCTACACTGAGGTTATATTGGGATGTTACACAGTTACCTTGGAACCAGGTGCTCCAACTTCACCTTTAGGGCCTTCAAGACCTTTGTGTCCCTGAGAAGAAAAATATCAATTTTTATTTGTATATTCATTTTTAATTCTCAAAGCATAAAAGAAGAAAGAAAAATAAGCTCATTGAAATGCATTTCAAATTTAAAGTTGTTGCTAAAAATATTTTCAAAGTCTTAACCTTTTTGAAAGTCCATTAAAAAATTTAAAGTATGAATTTCCCTTTATTTAAATTTAATAATGCTTAAATTAATGAAATGTAATAATATCTTTAAATTTCAATGTTCTCACCTTTCAAATATTAATAATATCATAGAAATTTAATCTATAGCCACAAATAAAAAAATATGGTTGCTTTGGTGAAAACAAATAGTTGTATAAATTGTATAGTTATGAGTTATATTCAGGGAGTAATATTCAAAATATTTAATATCTAATTGGTGCTGTAGTTAAGGCAAATGGCTGCCTAGTAAAAGGTCAGTGGTTTGAACCCATCAAACATTCCACAGAAGAAAGATAGGGCAGTCTGCTTCTGTAGAGATTTACAGCCTTGGAAACCCAGTTGTTGTTGTTGTTATGTGCCATTGAGTCAGACCCGACTCATAGCGACCCCTCCTTGGGTTGCCAAGGCAGTATCACTACGGAAGTAGATTGCCCAACCTTCCTTCCGGGGAGTGGCTGGTGGGTTTGAACCGCCAGCCTTCTGGTTAGCAGTCAAGTGCCTTAGGCACTATGCTACCAGAGCTCCTGGAAACCCAATAGGGGTTGCTAGAGAAGGAATCGACTAGATAGTAGTGAGTTTGGTTTGGCTTGGTTTTAGTACAGCACAAACATTTTAGTGAGAAGCTCAGCTTCTCAAAACAAAGGCAACCAGTGTATACATGAATATCAGCCATGCTTTCTTCTATATTTTGATATATTATATTGATATAAATGCATCATGTATATATGCACATATATATACACATACATACATACATATATATGTGTGTGTGTGTGTGTGTATAAACTACCTTGAATTATAAAAGGAGAGGCATTCTATGGCTTTCCATGTCTGTGTTGACTACCTTCCTGTGATCTAGAGCACTCTCTACTTATAATGTGTCACATATTATATAATTGTTGCTTATTTACTGTATCTCTTTTAGCCTGAGGGAGCTCTGGTAGCATAGTGCCTAAGGCACTTGACTGCTAACCAGAAGGCTGGTGGTTAAAACCCACCAGCCATTCCTTGGAAGGAAGATGGGGTAATCTACTTCCGTAGTGATACTGCCTTGGAAACCCAAGGAGGGGTCGCTATGAGTCAGGTCTGACTTGACGGCACTAACAACAACAACAACTTTTAGCCTGAAGTTGAAGGCCATAGATGGTTTCTTGTTCCTCTCTCTGTCTTCTTTCATGGCACAGTGTCAAGTATACAGTAAGAATTCAAAATGTATTTTTTATCAAATCAAATAAAAAGAAAATGTGAAAAAGCATTGTGATTTCAGTAACCACACATGAATGCAACCAGAGCCAGTTACAAACAAATGAAAAATGGATATTTAAAGATTCTGAAGAGAGTTTTCCCTAGACTCTACTCAATAACTCACAGTATCTGAGGGAATTGTGATGGCTTGAACTTACTCGGTGACCCTTCAGGCCTGGAAGACCAGGAGCCCCAGGAAAGCCTCGAGATCCCTGGGGGAAAAAAATAAAGCATTTCAGAATCACAAATAAGAAAATAAAGTTTTTAGTGTACATTCTATTTTTCAAGAAAATATATAGGCATAATTTTCACCAATATACTTAACAGTAAGTTATACTTTCATCTAGCAAAATATAACTATGTAATCAAAAATTAGCAAAGCAGACGTATTGTTAGAAATGGAATTTAACTTACACAGACACAAGAATTAATGTTAAGTATTGACTTGATGATATTTTCAAATTTTAAAATGAAGTCACTGTATTATAATTAGTAGCAAGAAAAAAAAAGTAAGAACAAATCAATATAGTCAGTATTTGAAAGAAGTAGGTCAAGATATGAGAAAAAAAAATCAGGTGATGAACCTGAGGAAAAATATATTGTCTTTCCTTTACATAGTTACTTCATGTCTGACAGAAGTGTAAATGCATTTGTGGCAAACCGATTTTTTTTTTCCCTGAACTTCTAAATGTTGACAGCAAGATATATGTCATTTATGTTTCATATGAGGCAGCTGGTAACAAAATTGATTTTAATCCAGATATCTAAAGAGCTCTTTCCATTACATTAAAATGTGATCAGGAAAATATTTTTAATGAGATATTCAGGAGTAGTCTTTTGAATTTATGATTCTTAAAAACTAAATAAAGAAATAAAATATCCAACAGATAGGAAAGTCAAGAAATACAGAGAGTATGCTTTCTCAGGTCAAAAATTTCTTATTTTGTGCTAATTTTATACTTTTTTCTCCTAAGTACATAAAAAATAAAAAAGACAGAAAATCAAATCCAAATAGTACCACTATTTCTCAATGATGCTTGAAACTTTTTCTTCATACTGTCTTAGAATGGACAAGGAAGTGATGACTCAATTATTGCTTATTCTGATTTCCTACATTAATTTGGTTTTGAGAGGAATTTCCATTCACTGTCACCAATAGACTGAGCTCCTTGACGGCATAGATTGACATATTATTAATTTGCATTTAGTGGGCATTCAATGAATAATATTCAAGCAAACAACTGGATGAAGAAACAATTTAACATTAAACTCTTGCAGGATTTTACCTAAATTTTTCTTATGGGGCTTCTCTTGTACTACCACAATTCTAGCAGATGGCACAACCCATCTGCTCTCCACATCATGGAGTTCATTTATTGTTTACTAAATGGATTAATAAACAGTTCAGTATATGAACTTCTTATGATAAAAGCCAAGCAATAATTCCTCCAGGACCTCTAGAGAAGGAAATAATTCTTTGGTGTTTTGGGGAGTTCCATAAACAAAGAGCCATGCTTTCTGAACAAATGAAGTTCTAATTCTGTTTCACAATTCTACTTAGGCTGTGTAAAGAAGTCAAAGCTGCAATGAAAGAACTGGCGAAGAACAAGGCTCTGGGAATTGACGTCATACCGATTGAGATATTTCAACAAACAGATGCCCCATTGGAGGCACTCACTCAGTTATGCCAAGAGATTTGGAAGACAGCTACCTGGCCAACTGACTGGAAGAGATCCATATTTGTGCCCATTCCAAAGAAAGGTGATCCCACAGAATGTGGAAATTATAGAACAATATCATTAATATTGCACGCAAGTAAGATCTTACTGAAGATAATTCAGAAACGTTTGCAGCAGTATATTGACAGAGAACTTCCAGAGGTTCAAGCCGGATTCAGAAGAGGATGTGGAACAAGGGATATCATAGCTGTTGTCAGATGGATCTTGGGTCAAGGCAAAGAATACCAGAAAGATGTTTACTTGTGCTTTATTGACTATGCAAAGTCATTTGATTGTGTGGATCATGACAAATTATGGATAACATTGAGAAGAATGGGAATTCCCGAGCACTTGATTGTACTCATGAGGAATCTGTACCTTGACCAGGAGGCTGTCGTTCGAACAGAACAAGGGGACACTGTTGTTGTTGTTGTTATGTGCCGTCGAGTCAAACCCGACTCATAGCGACCCCTCCTTGGGTTTCCGAGGCAGTATCACTACGGAAGTAGGATTGCCCAACCTTCCTTCCCAGGAGTGGCTGGTGGGTTTGAACCGCCAGCCGTCTGGTTAGCAGGCAAGTGTCATGGTTTAAAATCAAGAAGGGAGTGCGTCAGGGTTGTATCCGTTCTCCACACTTATTCAATCTATATGCTGAGCAAATAATCCGAGAAGCTGGACTGTATGAAGAACAACGTGGTATCAGGATTGGAGGAAGAATCCTTAACAACCTGAGATATGCAGACGATACAACTTTGCTTGCTGAAAGTGAGGATGACTTAAGGCACCTACTGATGAAGGTTGAAGAATACAGTCTGCAGTATGGATTACATCTCAATATAAAGAAAACAAAAATCCTCACAACTGGACCAATGAGCAGCATCACAATAAATGGAGAGAAGATTGAGGTTGTCATGGAATTCACGTTGCTTGGTTCTACAATCGATGCCAAGGGAAGCAGCAGTCAGGACATTAGACGACGTGTAGCATTGGGAAAGTCAACTGCGAAGGAACTGTTTCAAGTGTTGAGGAGCAAGGATATCTCCTTGAGGACTAAGGTGCGCCTGACACAAGCCATGATATTTCCAATCGCCTCGTATGCATGTGAGAGCTGGACAATGAATAAGGAAGACCGAAGAAGAGTTGATGCTTTTGAGTTGTGGTGCTGGCGAAGAATGCTGAAAGTACCATGGACTGCTAAAAGAACTAACAGATCTGTCCTGGAGGAAGCGCAGCCAGAATGCTCCTTGGAAGCAAGAATGGCCAGACTTCGTCTCACCTATTTTGGTCATGTTGTAAGAAGGGACCATTCCCTGGAGAAGGATGTCATGCTTGGTAGGGTGGAGGGTCGACGAAAGACGGGGAGGCCTTCAACGAGATGGATTGATACGGTGGCTGCAATGATGAGCTCAAGTATAGCAGGGATCGTGGGGTTGGCATGGGATAGGGCAGTGTTTTGTTCTGCTGTGCATGGGGTTGCTATGAGTCGGAAACGACTCGACGGCACTTAACAACAACAAAAACAACAAACAGAATTCACTTCAAGACCTCCCTTTAAGTTCTTCCACTGAAATACTCCTTTAGTGGCTTGCTTCCACTTCATCCTAAGCGGGGAGCTCAGTGCACACCCTTCTAAACCTATAGGGGAATTACTGAACTATATTATTTCAAATAATTACTTAACATTTCAGGGTTTTTTTGGTCTGCAAAGGAAATTCTTATGTGATTACATATCCCTGATACAAGAAAAAAATGAACCAGATGTACTAGTGCTCATAAAAAATTCTCCTTCTGCTGACCCACGGCTGTCATCACACTGCAGACACACGTTGTTGCGTGTACTTGCAGAGAGCATCTGTGACCTCCTGGCAGGGTAGATTTCCTCCCCAAGGAGGGCCTCTGCACTGACTAGGCACAAGATTGCAGCCCGATGGAAGTTCCAGCCTGGACTGGTTGAAATGGACATTTGTGAGAATAACTAAGCCTCTTGCTTTTGTCTGCATTTAACTCCCAAGCAGATGGGGGAGGAAAGGAACGAGAGGAACAACAGAGAACTGGAGAATTGGTTTATATATGTAAACAAATAATCCTTAGAGCCTTGTAAACCCCCTTCAGAAGATTAGCATTCATTTGTATAAAAAAGAATTGTAGCATTGAAAATCATCCGTTTTCAGAAAGGAGACACGAGTGTTTTAGTACCATTGGCTGTATTGAGTATTGCAAACATTAGGAAATAAGTATGAGACCAAGTCGGTGGAGAGGATGCTGGACAAAGAGAAATCTTAAGAGTAGCAAAGTTAGAGGCGGCTTTTTGCTTGCTTATCATTCTCTAACATTCCTCCTGGCCTGTGTAGCACATCCTAGGGGAGAGCTTAACAATGTAGTGCGAGTAAAGATAGAAAAGTGAGTTCAGAATATAGCCAAGTGACCCAGCTCCTGAATTATGTTGGAGTGAGTTTCCAGAGAACTGTTTCTGTAGTGAGCAGAGGAGGAACAACAACAACAAAAAAAAGAAAAAAAACAGCTGTGTGAGAGGGCTGGCAATCAGTGTATCCTGCCATTAGATTTTAGGGTCTAAAATATCATTCATGAATTTAGGCCAACAATAAGGCTTGGAGAGCAGCCATTGAGGCATTCTATCCAATTTATTATCCCTGGCTTACAAAACACATCAACAAATCCTCTTCAAAACATGTGAGGCAATTAAAATAGAAATATTAAAAAGATTTAAAGTGATAAACAGAATCGAAATGTTGTGAAACATAAACAGATCGTAAAGAGTGACTTACGTGAAAATTCAATATTCAGTTTGGAGAGTATCCATGTCAGGTTATCTATCAGAAGCCTATTCATATGGTGCCAATGCAAGGCAGTGGATTGGAATTAATTATCACTGAGACAAAACACTTAATTGTGCTCATGCAGAATCTGTACATAGACCAAGAGACAGTCATTGAAACAGAACAAGGGGATACTGTGTGGTTTAAAATTAGGAAAGATAATTAGGGAAGATGTGTGTCAGTGTATACTTATTCAATCTGTATGCTGAACAAATAATCTGAGGAGCTGGACTATATGAAGAAGAACTTGGCATCAAAGTTGGAGGTAGAGCCATAAAAACCCTGCAATACTCAGATAATGCAAACTTGCTTGCTGAGGATGAAGAAGATTTGAAGCTCTTACTGATGAAGACCAAAGGCTACAGCCTTAAGTATAGATTATATCATAACATAAAGAAAACAAATATCTTCAAAAATAAGCAACATCATGTTAAATGCAGAAAAGATTGAAATTGTCAAGGATTTCATTTTACTTGGATATACAATCAACACCCATGGAACAACAGTCAATAATTCAAACAATATATTACTTGGACATATATTGGACAAATCTGAAGATGTCATTTTGAAAACTAAAATGTGCCTGACCCAAGTCATGGTATTTTTTATCTTCTATATGCATGTGGAAGCTCTGGTGGCATAACGCCTAAGGCACTTGACTGCTAACCAGAAGGCAGGCAGGTCAAACCCACCAGCCACTGCTCAGAAGGAAAGTTGGGAAATCTACTTCAGTAGTGATACTCGGGAACCCAAGAAGGGGTCACTATGAGTTGGATCAGAGGTGACGGCAGTAAGTGAGTTTGATATGCATGTGAAGGGAGCTCTGATGGTGTAGTGCCTAAGGCCTTTGACTGCTAACCAGAAGGCTGGTGGTTCAAACTCACCAGCCACTCTGTGGAAGGAAGATGGGGCAATCTACTTCCATAAAGCTTAACCCCCTCAGAAACCCAATGGGGGTCTCTATGAGTCAGAACCGACTCCATGGTAGTGAGTTTGGTTTGGTTTTTGAATATGCATGTGAAATTGAACAATGAATAACAAGACTGAAGAAGAATTAATGAATTTGAATTATGGTATTGGCAAAGATTAATAAATATATCATGGACTGCCAGAAGAACAAACGAATCTGTCTTGGAAGAAGTAACGCCAGAATTCTCCATGGAAGTGAGGATGGGGAGACTTTGTCTCATGTGTTTGGATATGTTATCAGGAGCGATAAGTCCCTGGAGAAGGACACCATGCTGGGGAAAGTAGAGGGTCAGTGAATAAGAGGAAGACCCTCAGCAAGATGAATTAACACAGTGGATACAATAATGGACTCGACATGGCAGTGATTGTGAAGATAGAACAGGATTGAGCACTGTTTCATTCTGTTGTACATAGGGTTGCTACAAGTGGAAACTGACTTGATGGCACCTAACAACAACAATGACAAAATACACTCTTTTACAATGGTGAAAGGGAACATTTTTTGATAGTGTCTAATGTATTTGTACACACAATTAATTATAGTTTCGTTTTAATGATCTATTTTTGAAGTGTTGTTATACTAATGTTGTTATACTGATGAATAAAAACTTACTGGAGATCCTGAAAATCCCACTTCACCAGGATTTCCATTTCTACCAGCTTCACCCTTTATGGAAAAAAAAAGAAGAAAGAGGGGCAAAAAGGATTAAAATGCTTTCCTTTGAGGTTAGATTACATGTAATTTGCAAATAGATCTTTAGAATATCCATATCTAATACCCTGAACAGTGATCTCTATCCTTAATGGCAATCCATTCTAAGAAGTCAAATTGCAGAGATTTCATTAATTATCCAGAAGAAGAAATGGATATACATTATCCTAATCTCACCTTGCTCTTCATTTTATTAATATCAAAATGTATACACACATATTCTATAAAATTTTAATTAAACACATGGTACTGAATTGAAATACTGCTTGCCATTTCTTTTCTTGTGATTAAAAAAAAAAATCAAGCATTATCTGAGATAGTTTTTCTCTGGACAAATTTAACATAATCTATTTATATAAATCTCATGCCACATAAAGAGAAAATATTTATTTGATTTCAGTATCACACAGAAATTAATACCCACCCATGAACTTACCCTTATCTGTGGTACAACTAAGAGAAAAATCCACAAAAGTAAATTTGTTGTTCCATTCTTTCTCTGATAACACTTTAATGTTAAAATCTGGGTTGCATCATAACTTAATTTTTAATTTAAAAATTCAGCTGGAAAAATGACTCTCTCATTATTAAGAAGCCATATTGGCACTATACTATACTAACACATTAAAAACTTTCCATTAAAGGAAGACTTCAGAATGATGTACTGCAATCAGAGGGGTGTATTTTTCTTTAAATTCACTTTGATAGCTCCACCAGCAAAGGCTGTAGTGATTGTGACAGCGATTCTAGTACCTCATGGAGAAATCATAATAAAAAACCTGGGGACTGGGAAAATAAACAGTACCTAATGCTAACCAGAAGGCTGGCAGTTCAAACCCACCAGCCACTCCCCAGAAGGAAGGTTCTGCAATCTACTTCTGTAGTGATACTGCCTCAGAAACCCAAGAAGGGGTCTCTATGAGTCGGGTCCGACAGGACGGCACATAACAAAAACAACAACATTAACAATAATGTAATATTATCAAAATTAGCAGCACTTTTAGATTTTTTAAATATTTCATTCTGAGCTCTCCATTTTAGATTGAGTTTAATGGAAACTAAAAGTGTGAGAAAAAAATGAAGTGGAAATTAACAAGGAACATTCATGTTAACGCTGCAGCTCATTAGCCTCTTCAAAACTTCAGAGCAAAATGAAGTCGGCTTACATCTTCACCAGGTTTCCCAGGAGGGCCCTCTGGTCCACGTGTACCAATTGGGCCCTAACAAGCAAAGAAAACAAAGAATATTTATGTGTATTTACCTATACATGCCAATTTTATATATATTTCAACTATTGAGGAGACAAATGAAAATTATCAGAGAAAAATGCTTGGTTGACTTTCTGAATTTTATGTTTTATCTCTCAGATCATGTGCACCACAGGAAAATAATGTTCAATTTCACAACTGTAAATATTTCAGTTCTGTCTACCCATTGTATTCAAAGCCTTTGAATTTAAATACTGTATCATCAGGAGCACATAGCTTAAACACAGTCCGTAATAGAGGATTTGTAAACTGGACTGTAATTGCTTCCTTCATTAACGAGAAATCTGGGAAAATAAATTCACAACATCATTTTAATGCCTATATATAATTGAGACTCCATGCTTACATGACATTACCATTTGTCCAGGATCACCAGGTTCACCAGGAGGTCCTGTGGGGCCAGTACCACCCTGAAATTGAGAACAAGCCCTTCATTTTACTTGGATCCACAATTGCCATCCATGGAAGCAGCAGTCAAGAAATCAAATGATGTATTGCATTGGGCAAATCTGTGGCAATCGACCTCTATAAAGTGTCCAAAAGCAAAAAATATTACTTTGAGGACTAAGGTGCACCTGACCTAAGCCGTGGTATTTTCAATCACCTCATATGCATGTGAAAACTGGACAATTAATAAGGAAGACCGAAGAAGAATTGATACATTTGAATTGTGGTGTTGGCAATGAATATTGAATATACAATGGACTTCCAGAAGAACAAACAAATCTGTCTTGGAAGAAGTACAGCCAGAATGTTCCTTGGAAGTGAGGATGGAGACTTTGTCTTGTGTACTTTTGACATGTTATCAGGAGGAAGCAGTCCTGGAGAAGGACATCATGCCTTGCAAAGTAGAAGGTTAGCAAAACAGAGGAAGACCCTCAACGATATGGACAGACACAGTGGCCGCAAAAATGGGCTCAAACATGTAACAATTATGAGGATAGTGCTAGACCAGGCAGTGTTTCATTCAGTTGTCCGTAGGGTCACTGTGAGTCAGAACCAACTCAATGTCACCTAAAAACAAGCAATATATGCATATATGTAAATTATATATATTTAAAACAGAACTCTAAATGCTATACTTCCCAGTACAGTGTGGTTGTTCAGCCTACTGGCTCTTGTTCAAATTACTTAACTTCTTTAGATCTCTTTCCTAATCTGCATAATGGTTGTTGTTGTTGTTAGTTGCCTTTGAGTTGATTCTGACTCATGATGGCCCATGTGTACAGAGTAAAACTTCTCCACAGGATTTTCAAGTCTGTGCCCTTTCAAAAACAGATCATCTGTCCTGTCTTCCAAGGCATCTCTAGGTGAGTTCGAACCACCAACCTTTCTGCTAGTAGTTGGACACTTAACCATTTGTGCCACCTAGGGTACCTAACTCGTAAGGCTTTTATTAATATTCAGGAAGCTAATCCATGTGACAGAATGAGAATGGTGGCACAAAGTGAATGTTCATTTAATGGTAGCTATCATCATCATCATCATCATCATCATCACAACTTTAATAGCATCATTATCATCAACTACTACTTCTATTCACCAATGGCAGAAGTATAAAATCACTTGAAATAAAACTCCACACATGTCATAATGACAATATGGTCTCCTTGATTGATCTAAGGATTCTTTTCTTTTTTTGAAAAATTAAAAATAGCTCTAAATCATCATTTTACTATCATTTGATAAAATGTAGAAAGATTGTGTAGTATTACAGTCCTTTCCAAAGATTTCATGGAGTGATTACCTTAACTGTTATTGCTAATATTATGTGGTGATGGCCTTCTTTGACCTGATTTCAAAGCCTCAGCGTTGATACATAATCAATTAAGAGAATTTTCAGCATGATGTAAGGTTGTTGTTGTTGTTATGTGCCGTCGAGTCAAACCCGACTCATAGCGACCCCTCTTTGGGTTTCCGAGGCAGTATCACTACGGAAGTAGGAGGTAATGATCTGTTATTTCAGAAGTAAAGCACATAATTCTTGGTGTTACTGTCCATGAAGAAATCAGATAATAAAAATTTAGTCCTATGAATAAATTTTTGCATATGTTTCTAAGTGAAAATTAAATAAATGCAACTTATTCAAAATAAGTACTACAATATGCAATTTAGAGGCCATCCAAAAACAGTTGTGTCACACAGCCCTTATTTGTGTTTTTTTTTTGCTACAGTATGTAATTTAATTATGAAAGGACTTACTTGCTTCCCTTGTAATCCTTGTGGTCCTCTTGGGCCAACAGGACCCTTAAAAAAATGAGAGAAAAAAAATTGCATAGTGTGCATGACAACTAGATCAAACATTTCAAAAATGTTGAATCAGCTTTAGAGTCTGGAAGAGTAAAGGTTTGATGGTCGAAGATGATGACATTCCTCATCTGTATCATGTGGAATATAGCTAAATTCAAGAAGATTAAAGACTGGGGTGATTTCTTTGCACACCCTTGGCATCATGAAGAGAAATAAACACTATGTCTGCACACACCCAATGTCTTTGGGACAAGAATACTTGCATGCTTTAAAAGTGATTCTGTTAAAACAAAACATACAAAAAACGAAAAATCTTGATAGGCATGAAGTAGTTACCAAACTGCTTAGTCTTCAGCAGTAAGACAGATGGCCCTTTTATGGCATAAATGAGCAATTAGAATTTAAAGGTTTATGGAACTATCAACAATAATGACTAGATTATTTTAAATGTCAGTTGAAAATTATCTTGAGTCTTGCGGTTTCTGTGTTCTTTCTTTCTCAATATATATTTAAAGTTTAAATATTTTATTCACATAGTCTTTCCCAATTTAATAATGTAAAAAATAAATAGAAGTATACCAAAGGGAAGAAAATAAAATTGCAATTTTGAAGTTTCTTACTTTGTCTAGGAATGAATGTGTTAAAATGATACGCATTTTCTGACTAGCTGCCTTGAAATTACCCTTCTATAGCGGCTCTTCCATAAGTACTTTGATTATCAGTAAAACATACACTTACCACAGAGCCAGGCATCATTCCCATTTGACTCCCGAGTCCAGATTTTTCATCCAAACCAGCCATCTGAGCTGAAAATGGCTATAAAAGGAATGTGTTGACATTATTTTACAGTAAAAAAGATGTACTTTTAAAATTCAACCTACTTTTAAAATTCATTCTGGTATTCTTTTAAAATAATATACAGAAAATCATTTCAAACTTTTGACTTTAAAACAAGGGAAAAGTTTCGAGTTAGTTTTCTTAATAAGTGCTTTTTATTAAACAATCTTCCCCAGAGTGCTTTATAGCTATGTTGCTTCAGAGCATCTGAAGCAATGGGCCAAATGCCTGTCACTTGATAAAAGCATGGGTCATTCTGATAAGTACTCAGCCAGTTTAATTGATTTCAGGTTTAAATCTCTTTATCTGATGATGTCTCACGCGTAGAGCATGCTAAACATCTAAACAAACCTGATATTGCCTTTAAGACTTGTGTAATAAGATTCCAGATTCCATTTCCCACTATTTAGATTATATTTCTTTCCTTATTCATGGCCAGTAAACTTCAATATGATAAGAATTTTATAATCCTCGTAATGAATTTCAAGAATTGAAAATTATTTTCCTATTCACTTGCAAATGTAAAATTTACCTACATTCCCCATACATATTCCAGTAGTTACATGAATTTCCAGATTTCAGTGTGAAAAAGATGTCCATATTGTTGAAAAAATAAATATGCAATTCCTTCTACAACTAGTTGAGAAAGAAATGTATGAACTGTTGTAAAACAAAAACAAAAATAATTGTATTTCAGGAATCCATATGTCCGTTGTTAAGCTATACAATCTTCTCATAAATCCCCTAAATCAGCCACTATGAATTCAAAGAGGGAAGAATACAAAGACATTTTGTTTTATTTTCCTTCAGGTAGGAAACAGATTCAGGAAATAAGCAGGTAGCCATTTTAGTATCAATTCAATGACCCTTCATATGTATCTCCATGCATGTGTCATCCTCACTTGGTATGGAGAACATGACACCGATTCTGTCAGCATTCTGAGCCTAGAGAAAAGCAGAGGGATAGGGATGTCTTTCTTTACAGTTCAGTGCTAGTGGCTCTTTAGAATCAACAGGAGTAAGAACAGAGTTAAAGTCCAGAACTGATACTGAAAAATATAAATTTGAAGCTGCACTTTAAACAATGCTACTCTGAATTTTCAAAAAATTCCTTGTGGATTTAATAGTTTATTGTATGCAGCGGCATTGCATTCACTTTGCTGCTCTTAAGGTTGAGGGTTAAACTCAGAATAGGCACAATTTAAAACCATAACAGTGAGTCTATAATTTAATATGTAAGTATGGCATTGAACAATGCACACAACTCACCCTGCTCATGCCATCAGGTCCTGGGTGGGATGGATGTCCAGGAGGGCCTGGGGCACCAGGTTGACCAGGAATACCTGGTTCTCCATCAATACCCTGAGGACCACGGGGACCCTAGAAAAACAAGCCAGTGGAAATTAGAAACCATTTTCGAATATGTACTTAGTAGAAAAGCTACAAGCATAAACTTCTCGATGGAGCTGGAGGGTCCATTATTTAAAATACTAATAGCAATTTCAGCCCCTACACAGTAATTTCGTCAGCTACACCAACACTGTCAGTATCAGCAATGACCAGAGCTTATATCATTAGGATGTGGTTTGGGTGGAATTTTACTCTTGAAGTGCTAAATTCCCATCAATCAGCCTTCTTGGGACAATTATAAAATTTTATTCAGGTCAATACTCTCAAATGAGCTATCTCATTTAGTTGAGTTTTGCTGTTCAAGAACATTTAATCAACAATTTCTAAATTCATTGTCTGTCTTATAGTTTCTATGTATGTGCCTTCTTAAGTTTGCCCTCTTCTCCCCCAAAAAGGTTGAAGGTCCTTTGATACAGTTTGTGTTTGTTTATATTTCTAACATTTCAATACTTCGCATAGTCCTGGTACATGGTAGACACTCAAAAAAGCCTTTTCACATTTCAGTCCTCTTTACTACTTGACATCTGACACACTTTATTTTATTTACCACCTCCAGATCAATGAGGAATAGAGGGGAAGGCACAGTGACCCAGCCAAATTCTGGTTTCCAGAGAAAAGAGCAAGGATTTCTGGCTGCCAAATTCCATCCTTATCCAACACACATACTAAATGCAGCTTGGGAAAACAGCCACGTCCTCAGTTCTGGAAATGCTCCACCACCCAACTTCCTCATTCCCACCAGTATTTTTTGGCTTTTCTCTTTAACCCCGCAGAGTCTTAATGAGCTTTATAAAGAAAGGACCAAAGCCATCATCAGACATGTAACTCTTCTAAGTAGAAGCAAGGATTAAAAAAAAAAAAAAAAGATGACTTAAAACTAGGTAACTGAACTCAAAAAATGCATTAAAACATTATTTCTTAGAAAATTATTTTCATCCCTTAAAAATTAAACTGCTGTGACCACACCAATTCCCCTAAACCACTGACAGTTCACTATATTCTTCATTATAAACAATAGAAATGGACTCTAACTGTTATCTGGGACTCCTAGATCATATTAATGTGGACAAAGTGAAATGGAAATTTATATTGTCCATGGTGACATAAACAAAGTGATAATCTGACCTAGGCATAGAGTCTTCCATGGAAAACTCTTGATGTCTTTGAAATGTGCAATTACTAATTATAACCAGATACTAGGAGCTTTGGTGTCACAGTGGTTAAAGGACTTGGCTGTTAACCAAAATGTTGGCAATTCAAAGCCACTTGTAATTCCATGGAAGACAGATATGGCAGTCTTCTTCCAGTAAAGATTATAGCTTTGGAAGCCCTATGGGACAGTTCTACTCTGGCTTATAGGGTCGCTATGAGTCAGAATTGAGTCAATGGCAATTCATTTGGCTTTTAGTATTACATACAAAAAGTGAACTAAAACATAATCTCTGCTCCCAAAGAGGTTTGCAAAGATGAAACAAAAATTAAAAACTACATTTAGTGTGAATGACAGTAAAGAGAAGTTTGGGTAAATTATTCTCTAAATGGATTGTGCCCTTCCCCAGTCTTCTACGATGAATGATCATGTTTCAAAATCTGCTCTGAGGACGACTCACTTTTCACTCACTTCGTGAACCATTCAGTACCTCCATGACATATACTCTATAAACAGTCTACATAATTTACTGTCATACAAATTGATATTGAAGTTATTCGAAGAAAGTGATCTGAAATTAAATGAGCATAACGTACAAGATTACAGATGAAAAAAGAAAAAACATAACCCTTGAGCGTTTTTACTGATAAATATTGAAAACGTAAATAATAATTTTGTAATCTATTAAAATGTCTTAATATTTCCAAGTGAGATGAATTATATAACTTTCATATGAAAGAAAATATTTTATTTATCCTCACTCTCTCCCATCCCCCAGAATACTTTGCAGTAGCCCACGCAGCAATCTGCAATAAAAGTACTTGTTAATTGCCACTAGGTGGCGATCTTTAAACGTCCAGCAGTACAAAAGAATTAATGACTCAGAATCTTCGAGAACTTTGTGCATTACTAGTTAATAGTATTTCCTGAAAAGAAAATAAAAAATTAAAAAATTGTACAGTGTTGGAGCTGGTAAGATCTGGTGGCTTTCCCATTTTATGGATGAGGAAATTATGAGGTTTAATGGTTAAATGATTTGTATGAAAAGAACTTAGGCTTTTTGGCAAAGAGAATACAGATTTCCTAAAACATTTTGAAAGTCTACTTTGGTTATAACAAAATGAATACATCTTTCACAGAGAGTCTGCCCCTTATCATACGAATTCTCCAATACTTCCATCCAGCAGTCTCCTGGCCAATATATGAGTATAGGAGGTATCACAAACTGTTGGTTCCATTCAAACAATGTTATTTTTACCTTGCTTCTGAAATTTGCCCATGTAAACCAGAGTCTCAAGAATAACCAATCTTCCTAAATTTGATAACTGTTCTTTCCTAATGATAACATTTTAAAAATAAGGATTTATGGAAATTTGGAAGTCTCTAATAAGACTCAGAAGGAGTTCTGGTGGTGTAGTGGATGAGGGACTTGACTGCTATCTGGAAGGTCAGTGGTTCAAACCCACCAGCTGCTCCATGGAAGGAAGACTAGGAGATCGACTCCCATAAAGATTTACATCTTCAGAAACCCAACAGGGGTCTCTATGAGTTGGAAATGACTCAATGGCACTGAGTTGTTTTTTTTCTTTTTTTGGTTTGATAAGACTCAAAAATGACTCATGCTGAATTAGTAGCAACCCATAGCTTTTACCTCTAGTCCTAAGTGTTTCAGGAGCTGCTGACTTGGACTATCACACCATAAGGTGGTATCTCAAGCTAAACACCATTTTTCTCCTCCTATGTCTATTGCCGTTAAATACTACAGAAGGAGCATCATGTACAGTAGCATTGCTTATCTTCATTAATATTGACATGGGGGGGGCAGTCCTATGCATTGTAGGATGTTTGGCAATATTCCTGGTTTCTTCTTACTAGATGTCAATAGCAATACCCTACACATAGTTGTTTTAACCAAATATGTCGCTAGGCATTGCCTCATATCTCCTGGGTAGGGGATAAAGGAAAGACTGCTCCATATTAAGAACTGCTGATACAGAGATGTTCTCAGGAAGCCATCAGTACCAGGCAATTCTCATGCTATCTATCTCTCATCATATGTCCTCAATTTTAAGCATATTGTCCAGGTGACTTCAGCTACAAACAAGAAACTTATCACAGTATGGACAGTCAATGGTGTGCTGGAGCCAATTTGCACTGGTTCATGATAGCCGATGATGTACATCTTTCCCAACTCTGTATTCAGTGACCTTACCTTGGTAGTTTGAAATTGGTAGAAGTATTTATGCCAGGAAATCAGCAAAAGCTATAAATCAGGGCTTTAAAAAGAGAACTGGTTGTTATACATTTGATAGCATACCATTGATGTGATCAAGAGAGGATCAGATTTCCTATTTGGTTATCTGCCAGAGTTGGGTGGGTTAACTCCTCATAAATAACCACTGCCTACTCTTAACCCTCAAGGTCCCGCAAATGGTTTGTACTCAGTTACCAGCAGAAAGGTTAGCACTTAGAGACCACCCAGTAGAGCTGTGGAAGAAAGTCCTGGTAATCTGCTTCCATAAAGACGACAGCCAAGAAAGCCCTATGGAGAGTAATTCTATTGGAATACATAGGTTGCCATGAGTTAGAGTTGAGTCAACAGTAATAGGTTGGTTTATTTTTATTTACTCCTTAGCCACCTACTTTTGACTGGTCCCACATTAATTTTCCTCTTTCTGTCTTACACGAACACATACATCACACATACTTAAATCTAATTTCTACTGATTGTCTCAGCCCTAAGAAAGACAGGAAATGAAGCATGTCACACACTAACTCAGGTAAAGATGAGAAGAAAAGTAAGAGGGGTGGGCAGCACATTCACTGTATCCAAACCAAGAATTCTGGAAGTCCTGCCATAATAACTTCACCTGGATTTAAGATCTAGATTTGCCAATTGTTCTGAGCGTAAGTGCATTGATGCAAAATATGTCCTGTATGACCACCCACCCTTCCACCTGTCTGTCATTCTTGGCCCTGAGTCGACATCTGGAAAGCTACCAACATTGTTCAAGCTACCACCAGTGATAAGGCTGCTCAAAAGAACAATAATGAGTAATGGGGTGTAAGGTAACCTGAGCACAGCCTTGCCTCCACCTACAGGTACTTTTTGGAGACCCTACAAATACCATCCATAACTCCAGCCCAAGCTTGGAAAGGGTATTAGCATCATGGTCTACCTGTTAAAATGTACAGAAAGATAAACTAGTATCAAAGATGAAACCAGTAGTGGGACTTCCTAGGGGCATGGTTTGAAACACGTCTTTTTTATTTTGTTTGTTTTTCACTTTTATATTAAAGGCTATTTGTTATTTCCTTGCCATTCTATTTTTCCCATTTTGATACAGATATATACATATTTAGAAGGATAAAAATCTATACAGAATTAAATTTAAGTAGATATAATTAGAGGGAATATTAAAAAGTAAAAACATATTTTCTGATTGAAACATGGGATAATGATAAAAATGCACAAATTAATACAGTATTGAATATATTAAGGTAATTACACTTGGGAGTTGAGATACACAAAGAAAAAGAATTTTAATCCTAGGATTTGAGAACAATATACATTCTGTATGGGTATGCAAAAAGAGAAAACATTTTGTATGTATTGTATAATATCTTCAGATATTACCTCCAGGTTTTATGGGCTGATTATTTAAACTTAATGGTGTTCTGGTAATGAAGTTATTGACTTATAAAACTACTCCTTTGGTGGCACTTCTTAATAGAAAAAAGCAAAGAGTTACTTGGAAAATAAATGCATTGTGCAATCACTTTGAAGAAAATGTTATTATCTACTAATCTCTTTTTCTTTCATCTAGTTTGGTTATTCCAATAGCAACCTCAGATCCCAGAACTTGGATGTTTCATTTCAGCAGTACAGTCCTGGTATTGTTTACTCATGAGTTATGAGTGCTGAAAACAACCTGAAGTGCTACTTATGTTTCCTTAGATTCTGCTATATTTTAATTTGACCACATAACAGAATTAATAGTATGTGATAGTTTCCTCTGAATCAGAAAAGATGCACTTTATGATCTGAATTCTTTGTAACATTCAATACAAGTGAAAGAGTAACAGGCGACATCTCTTCATTGCACCAGGAAACACTGGGTAGACTGCTTACTTGGTACACATTCACAAAAAAGAACCTGCTGTCAACTTACAGGTCTTCCTTTTGGGCCTCGCTCTCCTCTTGGTCCTTGTGACCCTGGAGGTCCCTAAAGCAGAAAATAATGGTCATTACTGCTAAATGTTTACACTTTGGTTTCTTTTTGTTTTAAATATTTTTATATAAGAAAACTGGAAAGCAGAAATACCACATCTGGTATTTGACATCTAGAATTCTTAATTCAGTTCAGTTTAAGACTGTAGAGAATAAAGTTGTTGCATGTAAAAGTGCTGTGGATACAGTAGGGCTGTTTATTTTATCATTGAAGGTTAAAGGACTGTGAAAAATTAAGTGCTATATTCACCTATCCAATGAGCTGAACATATTAGCTTGAAAAAGTAGATACAAGGTTGTAAGGATCATTTTACTGGGTACACCTATGTATTCTTTGCCACTAAACTCTGGGCACCAAAATTTATTGTTCAGATTTTGAGAGAACTACATAAATATGCAAACCTCAAAGTATAAACTTTGTGAGGGATTGTATGAGTTCACACATTGGTTTGTGATACCTCAAAACTATTCATAATTGTTCAAGTTGCCAATGAAAGGAATAGAAGAAAAGCCTCTCAGCTTTTTATGTACCATGCTCTATGTACCTTCACCTATTTTGTTTTTCACTTGATATAGAATGTTGCATTATCTCCATTGCATATTTAAATACCCACTTAGAATTTTCCAAATAGTAGTCACATCATTTCTCCTTGAAAATGAAAATTAAATTCCAAAGTGGCATTGTTGTAGTAACATCTGACAATGTCTTTCTTCCTGGGAAATGAAAGGTGCCATATCCTTACTATTTCCCCAATAGAGTACAGTTCAAAGCAAGTTTCAATTGTGGTATGAAGATTAGATTATGTATTTACTTAATCCAACATAGAGCATTGCTCATGTGTTCAGCATGAAATGATCCTCTATGTGCTATTTGTTGCTACAAAGGAATGGTGAACCTTGAAGATGTTTCAAGACAGGTTATTTTAAGAAACTAACCATCATTGTTTTATATACTATTGTCTTCTCATGGATATAATATCCATAGGGACTTCCAGTATCTCAAAGAACATAGAAGTATCATGAACATTGGAGGAAATTACTTACTGCTGGTCCTGGACGACCACGTATGCCTGTTACCTAAACAGTAAACAAGATGATCAGTTACAGGTAAAGTTTCTAGAGTTCTAAAATGTCAATAGTCAAATAAATAAGAATAACAACAAAAGCCAAGATGAATTTCTTTTAGACAATAAAAGTTTCTCCATTGATGCCCACCATCTCCTTGCTTTATGAGCTAAGATAATACCTAGTTAAAATTTCACCAAGAGAGAAGCATTGGAACTAATTACTCTGGTAGCATAGTGCCTAAGGCACTTGACTGCTAACTAGAAGGCTGGAGGTTCAAACTCACCAGCCACTCCTCGGAAGGAAGACGGAGCAATCTACTTTCATAGTGACATTGCCTCGGAAAGTCCGACTCAACGGCACATAACAACAACAGCTCTGAGCTTAAATTTTCTCTGCTGTGAAATGGGAATGGTGACTAAGAAACACTTCTCTCACAGAGTCTTTGTGATGATTATTTCAGTAAATATTTTTTAAATGCTTAAAACAAAACCTAAGCCATAGTAATTACACATAAGTGTTTTTAATAAAGCAAAACAGTAAGCTATGATTCAATTTTTAAGCACTCTGTGAAAAACAAGCCAATTTAAAGCAAAACAAAATGCAAACACTGCAAAATAAATGAACATGTAAATTCATTTGTCTTGCAGAATGATAAGTCCTTTAAATTTTTTAAAGTCTTTGACAGTGGCAGTTGAAGAATCTTTATCTAACTTAATAATATGCTTTTGATAATCCAAGAGTCTAAAGAACTCTTATACAACATAGAATTTCCATGAGGATCATTACATGATATTTCCAGGAGTATGGAACATTGAACAATATATTTCTATATAGATTACGTGGCTATTTACACAATAAATATCACACATCTACACTATTACAGTATAATTTTGTAAAAATCTGATTTTTTAGCTTTAGTCATGGGACTGCAAAAGTCAGGAACACAAAACATTAAATATTGCAATAAATATAGAATTAACCTTTTCCCTGTTTTTGCTAATGAATTTACCTATAGTATAATTGTATATTATTGTTTAGGCAATCTAAAAAAAAGTTATTTTATAACCAACATGAATGAAAACAATATATATACTTACAACAGGCACTAATCCTGGTTCTCCTTTTTGTCCCTGAGCAGGAAAATAAATAAATAAATAAATAACCAATGAGTAAAATAATGGCTGGTTGAGCATGCACGTGTCATACAAGGATATGCCATGTAAACCCTGGGAACTTCTATATAAGAAATAAGATAAGAAATTTATCGATTTTTAGTGTACTTATTCAGATATTATTTATGAGAAATGAATTCTTTCTTCATCTGAAAGACATGAAAATAAAATCTATCTAATATGTACTGAAAGGAATAATTTATAAAGTTCTTTTTCTTCTGTTTCAGAAATCAAATCCAAAGAGTTGACTAGAGCAAGAAATAATTGTGATAAAAAGTTGTAAAGTCAGAGCACCATAATAAAAACTATCTAAGGCTGAAAAGAAAATTCAGATAATTTTATAGTTTTGAATTATCAGAATCTTATTACATGAGACTTAGTAATGTGTTAGATGCTATTCCCAAGCCATTTGGCACCCTTCTTTAGAACTCCTAGAAGAATCTGAGAGATAATTAAAGATATGTGTGCTCAACTTAAGAACGAAATAGAAAACCAGTAATAATTCTTGTCAGGTAATTTTCAGTCTCTGAGAAAAATCTTAAAAAAAAATCATTTCCACATCCTACATTGGCAAGTAGTGATTGGGGTCTTAAAAGCTTTCAAGTGGCCATCTAAGATGCAGCTAATGGTCTCCTAGCATTGGAACTGAAGAAGAATAAAAAAAAAAAAAAAAAGTGGGCATTTAGAAGCAAACAGCCCTAGGACATGATGGACCTTGAGATCAGAAGAACTAGATAGTGCCCAGCTACCAATGCCAATCACTCAGGAAAGGATCAAATCTGGAGATTCTGGATAGAGTCGGAGGGAAAACGTGGAACAAAATCCAAAAACTCAATAATGACCAGAATTGCTGGTCAGATGAAATCTGGTGAGACTCCCAATAGTATCGCCCTGAAATACATTCAGGGCCTGGAATAAAACTCACCCCCAGGGGCAGGCTCTCAGCCCAATAGTCAACAAGATGTACATGCAGACCACTCAACTCAGGATGATGCACCCACATATTCTATGGCAATAAATCCCTTAGAGCAATAGACCATGGGACACCAGAGGACCAACATTCAAATCGAGGAAATGAAGGACAAATAGGAGTGCATAAATATGAGGGGCACAGAGGGAAGTTTACAGCGTAGGAAGGAGAGGAGACTGGGTTAGGGTTGGACATGGCGAATGGGGAATGAAACTAAATGTACACGTTATGTTGAATGTAAAACAAGCTTTTAAATAAAAAATAATAAATAAATAAATAAAAATCTTTTGAATAGAAAAATCAAAATAACATAAAAAACTATCATAATTGTGAAAAGTAAATCAAGTCATTTTTATGCCTCCACTTTATTACACATTCTTGGTATCATTTAAGTATAAATCAACACCTATGGAAATAGCAATCAGTATATCAGATGATATACTTCACTGGGCAAATCTGCTGCAAGGGGCTTCTTTAAAGTGTTAAAGAGCAAAGACATCACTTTGAAGACTAAGATCTACCCAACCCTAGTCATGGTATTTTCAATCCCCTCATATGCATGTGAAAGCTGGACAATGGATAAGGAAAACCAAAGAATTGATGCCTTTGAATTATGGTGCTGGTGAAGAACACATACCATGGATTGCCAGAAAAATGACCAAATCTGTCCTGGAAGAAGGATAGCCTGAATGCCCCTTAGAAGCTAGAATGACCAGACTTCACTTCATGTGCTTTGGTCCTGCTGTTAGAAGGGACCATTGCCTGGAGAAGGATATCATGTTTGGTAAAATAGAGGGTCTGCAAAGAAGGGAAAGACCCTCAACAAGATTGATTGGCCCAGTGTTTGCAATCGTAGGCTCAATCAATCGTAGCAAGGATTGTGAAAATGGTGCAGGACCCGGCAGTGTTTCATTCTATTGTAGGTAGGGGCACTATGAGTTGGAGCCAACTTAATGGCACCTAACAGCAACATGTCTTCCAAAAGATTTTGGTCCCATCAAAGTCATGATCATGTATCAGTCTACTTTACATCCTCAGTGTTGTACCCAGAAGTTCGCAATAAATTCCTTTTCTAATGTCTTAATTTCCATTAATATATTATAAAAAATAATTTTAAGGGGCAGTTGCAAAGGGTAAATATTGAATTTAACGATTATATTCAAAATTTAGAAAAAACAAGAGGACTGAGTACTATTTACTTAATTTCTCCTTTCATATATGGTTCTTTTATCCAATCATAAAAATAACATGTGTTCATAGTAGGGAGTTTTTAAACTAGAAGGAGTATACAGAAGAAACTAAAAATCAACTTAATGGGAGATAACTACTATTAACATTTCGGAGTCTTAGTTTCCAGTCATGTACATGCACTCTGTTTTATGTATTCAATGTCTGATCATTTAACTCTTTCATTTCTGTTTTCATTTTTACAATAAAAATAACATTACAATGAATATTTTTGTTCACAAATGTTCGTGTGGCTTCTCTGATTAATATTTACATTTTTGTTCTAGAAGTTAAATTTGTGGGTTCAAGATCATACCTATTTTTGTTTCTGATCTAGATTAACAAATTGCTTTCCTTTAAGATGCAATCTCTGCCACTCATCTGTCATTGTGTGGTACTGTGTTAGCTTGCATGTTATTGTTATACTACTGGAAGTTATGCCACTGGTATCTGAAGTACCAGCAGGGTGATTCATGGTGGACAGGTTTCAGTGGAGCTTCCAGACTAAGATAGACTGGGAAGAAGGATGAGACCATCTATTTCTGGGGGAAAAAATAATAGCCACTGAGTACCTTATGGTAGCAGTGAAACATTGACACATTACTAGAAAATTTTAGGAATAGCAATGAAACACTGTCATGCATAGGAAATATTGTGAGGTTGGCACAGGACTGGGTGTTTCCTTCTGTTGTACATAGGGTCACAATGAGTGAAAGCCCATTCAACAACACCTAACAACAACAACAAAGGTGCAATCTAATTATACTCTTTCCCTAGTATGTCACAACTCACAAAATTTGATAAAGTGAAATTTAAAAATTAGTTTATAACTTGACAGTCTTAATGACGGACACTGTGACAGAACTAGTTAATACCCTGATCATACTGTTGATAATTCTGGTGCTGAGGTATCTACTACTTCTGAAGTGAAAAATAAATTGAGAATTCAGAGGACAGAAATGGAGAAATGGCCTTACAAAAGCAAGAGGGAGTTCTATAAATAAATATAAGATAGAATCTCCTTGCAAATCAAAACAACAATGAGATACCATCTTGCTCCAGCACTAGTATCAAAGTTCAACAAGACAGAAAATAACAAATGCTGGCGAAGTTGTGGAAAGATTGGGACTCACATACACTGCTGGAGGGACTATAAAAGGGTACAACCACTGTGGAAAGCAGTAGGGCAATTCCTTCAAAAGTTGGAATTAGAAATACCATTTAACCCAGCTATTCCATTACCAGGTATATACCCTAAAGAAGTGAGAGCCATGACAAGAACAGGTATACACACACCCATGTTCATCACAGCACTATTTACAATAGCCAAAAGATGGAAACAATGTAGGTGTCCATCAACTGAGGAATAGATAACCAAACTATGGTACAGACACACAATGGAATACTATGCAACACTAAAGAATAATGTAGAATCTGCAAAACACTGCATAATGTGGATGAACTTGGAGGACACTATGCTGAGTGAAATAAGTCAATCACAAAAGGACAAATATTGTATTAGTCCATTATTGTAAAAGTCAAGGAAAGGTTTATCTATGGAAGGGAATTTTCTTTGTTGGTTACTAGGGGTGCGAGGGGAGGGGAGGGAACGCTGTTAGATAGATAGAGATAAGTATTGATTTGGGTGAAGAGAAGGGCAATGTAACAAACGTGAGTAACCAATATGGTGGCATTGAGGAAGAGAAAGACATAGAGAGGTACATGGAAGGTACAGACATCAAAGATGAACCCTTTTGCACATACAGTACTGTGTTGTCAGTGAAGGCAAACATGGGTATATGGGTGGATAGATAGGCAGGCAGGCTGAACTATTAGGTATGTCTATGAAGTGGGGAGTGTATCCAAGAACTTGTATAGAGTTGGCAGACAATGGTTCTATAAGTTTATGTGAATGGTCAGAATTCCCAGGAGTATAGCAGAGCTGACAAAGGGCAAGGTTGTGGTCACTGCTTGGTCACAGCCAGCTACCCAGAGGGACC